TTTCGGAATAAACCCTTTTCGAACAAAAAAATAATTTTGCAAATCCGTCTATATAATATGACGGAGTTATGTCCGAACATGCATAAAAAAATAAAACATCCGAATTGATAACCAGCTCCTTTTTGAAGTTATTCATAAACTTTTGCACTGATTATGGTTTTTATCTATTTTTCGGTTCCCTTGTTCCTCATTTTTCATCAGTGCAACCACAAAAGGCCGAGTACAGCTAGTATTATTATAATTTGTTTACATGTTGTACTTTTAGATTATAGTTTGTTTCATATTATGTATAAAAATACCTTGTAAATTTCTTATACGTATGTATGGGCTCCAAAAAATTGGTGCTCATCGCGTTCAGACAGACAGACGTCGCGAAGAACTTCATATTATAATAAGTAATAATTAAGTTAACATGTTACTGGCATATTTTGCCATAGACATGTCTTGGTTGGTAAAAATTTTTCGCCATACTGCCCGTTGAAGTGACGGATGAGATGCAAGCCATATTTAGATATTAAACGTGAGGAGTCAGAGAGGGACCGGATGGAGCTGATCGACGCCTACGCGAGACGCGTCATAAATACTCTTTGTTGAGTACATCTCAGCTCTTACAATTTACTTTTATTTGATTTTGAAAACATTTCATGTTTAATCATTGTTTGTTTAGACTTTATTCTGACTGTGCTTAGCACTTACGATCACAAACCAGAGGCCGTAGATTCGATTTTTACCCTACAAATACTTGTGTGATGGTCATTCGTTTTGTGAGTAGGTGTAATTTATCTACAATTTATACCTATGTAGTTTTAAATGTATAAGTATATTTAGCAGCAGTTACCATAGTTTTGGCACCAGGTGACCAGTTACCCATAACTTATTTATTCAAATATATGTACTTTAATCCAAAGCTTCGCTTTTGTCAAGCAATTAAGGATTATCAGCTCTTAATGCACTTTTCAGCACTCTGAAAAAAAAAACTTAGACGCTTTAATAACGCTATGAATATATATTACTAAACAAGTAGGTTATTGATTACAATAAACACCTAAATCACTACTGCCTTAAAAAGGTTATATAGTAAAATAGTAAATAATCTCATGGTTCAGAGACTGTTTGACAATGATGGTAGCTCTATTTTTTGTGTACAGTTTCAAACGCATTTTTAACTCACTCACTCTCATTATCACATTAATTCCTAATCCCCGTCTATCCCCCTAAATTGTATATACTTAAAAAACATTAAATAGTTTTTAAATACGGCTAGAAGTGGGAGACTTTCACTCACACACACTCTTTCTTCCAACTTCTTCTTGCCATACTTTATTTGGGGCCATATTCTGCTTTTGAACGTTCCGTGACTATATTTGACTCTAAAAATATTTCACACAGCTCATTCCTGATCTTACCGATTTGTACCAAAACCCTGAGCTTTCAAATAACAATGAAAAGATGGAACTTCTGTCCGCTCCTAGTAGCCCAATAAAGGAATCGTGACCTTTGCCTTGTTATGAACGAAAAAGTGAACATAAAAGTAACATTAACTGTGTTTCCCTGAAAGTAAATTCCCATTCCGTGTGGTGACGGATTAAGAATACGGAGTGTCACTACCCCTATTCATCCAACTAAGGGAACTAACTACGCAGGACAACAGCACTGCAAAGAGAAGGAAAACTTGAAACAAACCCTCCACCAACCCGTCTGGCAAGCGTGGTATAGTAGGCCAAAAACTCTTTCCTAAAGAGAGGCCTATGTCCAGCAGTGGACTATTTAAGGCTGTTATTATAATGATATGATTCCCTGAAAGTAAACTTCCCTGATGTCTACTTTCTTAATTTCTAAAATGCGATATAAGAAGCGAATACGTTTTAAACAAGCGTCGTTATCTTTACAATGTAATCACCATGTATTTGATAAGTTGGTGAGCACTCGAAGTAAATGCCTTTTTAAAATGCGCTGTCTGATTACACCGATAACGATCTAAATAGAGTATTCAAACAATGTCATAATACTGCGAAATCTGGACTATTCGTGGAAAACAAAACTAAATAAACAGTACTAGCTTCTGACCGGGGATTTGTTCGCTTATACGTTATATTGCTGTTTCTTAGGAACCTCACTTTTTCATTGGATGAATTATCATTCCTATTTCCTCTTCAGGATCGCTGACAATATGTATCTGAAATTTCATGATGATCGATTCATACTGTAGGGTAGTGGAGAATGCGTAACAAACAAACAATCTCTTCCACAATTATAAAATTAGTTCGGATTTAGAATCAAGATAAGGATCCCAATCTCGATCACAAAATTAGTTTTTTATCTTTGTTTCCATTGCAAAAAAGCGCCACTCTCTTTAATGGCTGTTTCTTCATTTACAAAGTTCTGGATGCAAACTTGTAGAGTTGTGACGAAATACTTTAGTAGAAATCAACTAAAACTATAATGTTGCAGAGATTTAACAGCATCATATTAACCCATTGTTTCAATGTAGGTTTTAGATATAATGCGAGAGGAAAATGTCCGCCGCCCTCAAGAAGAGCGCATAAGACTCGATTTCTCTATTCTCTTACTTACACATTGGCGAAAAGTAAAAAAACTCGTTACTAAACGTTGCTATTCAAGGTTTTGAGTTGTTGCTTTTGATAATCTTTATTAGTTCAAGTCTGCCATCTCGGTCACTGGTAAAAAGGCACTGGGTCACCGCGTAGTGTGACGTCGTTCCTACACCTGATGCAGTATTATATTATAATTGCAGTATTATGTTATATTGAAAAAATATTATATGAAGGCGGTGACAGCGGGTTCTTGCTAGTTCAAAACATATTGAGTGTAGAATTGGAGATCCCAGAAAAGAATAAACGCGAATAGAATCAATTATAATCAAAACAGTTCAAGTGCAGAGACTGGCATGATAAGAAAGTGACTTCCTTACCGCTTCAATGAGAGATAGCGGAGATAAGAACTATCTTAAAGAGATAAATTAATTCCTATTTCCCAACTGTTCTATCTAATTTAAATTGCGCCAGTGACAATGCAAATACACTTTACATAAAACATACATAACCATCTATAAATAACAAAGATTTTTGTTGGTAATGTTTACACATTGCTGTTAACATGCTCGTGGTGATAAAGTCTTGGGGAAGAGTCGAATGGAAATAATTTCAATTCCCATTTCATTGTAGTCTGAGACAGACACAAATGTTTATAAATTTTAACGACGATCACAGCGTAGTACGATTCCATCGACAATGCTTTCTTGTTGAATAAACTTTGTGGTATCCATTTTTTTTAAATAAAATTATGATGTAACATGTATGAATATACTGCTACGATTCCAAACAAGTACGTTTTTGATACTATAAAGGAAAGGTCCTGCAACGATGCGAGGTGATCGTTCCTGGTTAGCCGCGGTCCAACCGTTGATGTTGGGAAGTTGTACATATACTATTCGGCGTGAGAACAACTTTTCATTTCGCGATACAGCATTAGTATTTACTTCGTAGTTCGGTGTTTCTTCATTAGATGGCACAGACGTAGGTTTTTGTTACATTGCATGTGAAAGTCCCCACAAGACATGATACCATTACAATCAGACTCAAAACGGTTTCAAACGGCACAGCATGGTTTAACAAGAGCAAGAGACACATTCTGAAATTAAAATACCATATAACCCCACTTACTTCTTATTGAAGTACTTATTACGACTGCCTGGAGGGGATCACTTGCTAAAAGAATTGTATGTAATTGTTGCAACTTCAGCGAGACCAAATATCTCAATGTTATTACAATCCGTGTAGTGTATGCCATCCTCTTACCAATGCATATACTTCGCTTGTATAATATTGGACAGCGGTGACGTTCACGAATTTATTGAAATCCTATTTTAATCTATTCTTATTCCGTGTGGTGATGGATTAAGAATACGGAGTGTCGCAACCCTAATTCATCCCGTGGGTGTCGCAAGAGCCGACTAAGGGAGCAAACTACGCAGGACAACAGCACTGCAAAGAGAAGGAAAACTTGACACAAACCCTATACCAACCCGTCTTTCCAGCGTGCTATAGTAGCCCAAAACTTCTTTTCTAAGGAGAGGCTTATGTCCAGCAGTGGACTATTAAAGGCTGTTGATGACTATTTTAATCGGCCGACCGCCAGTATAGCATCTTATTGATAGTTTCTGGTAGACTCTGGTTGAGCATTTTCTGGTCAATCAGAAATCTGGTTTAAGTGGTAAGTGTCCTTTTCGATGACTTTATACTAAGACATCTCGTTTCAAAAACTTTTTGAAATGCCTGTCTTCAAATTTGGTGCCCCCATTGCAGATTTTTCCTTTTAATGATGTACAGAGTGCAATCTTCTAAATTGCTAAACATCACCTCGTAAATGATAATTTAATCAAAATCAGGTTTCGTTATATCGAAATCATCGTTCAATAAACAATGAAATAAATATTGTGTATAATAGTCAATGTAAGATTGGAATATTGCTGATTTGAATATAATAACATTGAAAATGTTTACACAATATGTTTTCAGTTGTTACAAAATATCGTATGGACAAAAGGTCATGAAAATTGTGGAATGTTAGTAAAATATTGATTTATAATTCACAAATGTTAGGATTATTGGAATTTGTACTTTTATACAGTATTTCGGTATTTAATTTAGAATATATATGTAATAATAACACCAACGGTTCCGAGGAGGTAGAATACTCATCTTTATGGCTCAGTTTTGGTTCCTGATACTTGAGTTCAAGCCGAGATGGTACTATCGTCTACTGAATTGCTGACAGAATTAAGCAATGAGGAGTGCTGTCTGGTGTTAATCTTGCCAGTTCTTGGTTGTAAAATTGGCAATTTCTTAGTAAAATACTACACTTTCCTACCGTCTGCGATACCACAACGCCATTGAAATGCCATTACAATTAGCCTTACCTGGCAGTCGAATAAAGGACTCTTATACGAAATATACCTATAAGATATGTACACTCACCAGGCACAAGCAGAAGAGGGGTTCATCACAACGTGTCAGCAGCTCCGCGGTTATGGCCAGGAGATGTTCAGCGCCAAAGATCAGCTCAGTTCCAGTGAAGTGACTATCGCCATCTCTCTCACCGGTGTCAGAGTTCTCACCGACACCAGTGAAACGCCTCACTTTTATAGGTAAGGCTCGTTTAGAATACTAAGTACTAGTTTTTGCATGGGAGATCGCTCGCTTTACTGTAGTTTTTTCCAACGAATTTAGTATTTGGTAGCAGCAGAAGATTTTCTTCTGAGAAGAGAAGAGAGAGGTACCCTCAATTTATTTTGAGAACGTGTATATATTCGGTTAACTTAGTTTATATTAATAACATTTTGAAACTTTATAACTATACGTACACACAAAAGGGTTTAAGTCATAGAACAAATTTGAGTTACGTAACTAGTTACCCGTGATTTTAACACTTTGACGCAGAGTTACGACAGTTTGGAACTAGTCACCACCACCATACGTTAGCAAGTTTCGACATGTCGTCCTGCTCCACTAATAGGTTTACGAAACTAGTTTAAATATAATAATGCTTGTTTATTTTGAGTTGTTGTGTACAAGCGAGCATCTCATTGCGTATGGCTGAACCGTTGATTAAAATTAGAAATTGCGCATTCATTTGGAAAATGTATTAGATGCATTTCATCGATAGATTGTTTTAACTGAAATATCTTATTAACTCATTATGTTTGCCTTTGATAACAGTGGCCGTTAGTCCTTTTTTTATAAAAACAATTCTTTCACGAAGGTGTTGATCTGTTCACTTATCAGGTCAAATAATTTTATGATGGGCACGATCCTTTGGTCTGTATCTTGGTGTAATTTATCTATAACTAGCGACCCGCCCAGCTTCGAACAGGTGCAATATAATTATATACATGTATCATTCATATCATATCATACCTTCCTCTTGAATTACTCCCTTTTGATAAAAACAGTATTAAAATCCGTTGCGTAGTTTGAAAAAACTACAGGAACGGGAAGCAACTTCATTTTATACTGTGTAAAAATATATCTGTATTTAGAAATATATGAGTATGTTTTTCAGCAGTCTGCTTCCCACGGTACGGGATCGGGCGCGTGTGTGAGATGATTCAAGTTATTATTGTTACAATATTTTCCTGTTTCCCTGAAAACGTGCAAATATTATTATTGCTTAACATGTAACAATTTATCTTTGAAACTAACGGACAATAATCCCGTCCCAGTGGATAACTTGAGAAGATCTTTCATCTTCTTCTTTCTTATTTTAACTTTGTTTTTTTTTTATTATTACTTTTTTCTTCGATTACCAATCTTAATTTTGTGTGCAAAGTTACAAACTGAATTATTGAACTGGTTTCTTTGCTGATTGTATTCTAAATGTTATACCAGCTATATCATAAAAAACCTGTCAATATTCGACTTATTCGTCTTATTTCGTCTTTTATGTCTCGTAAAACCAAGTGGTGTTGCCAGAGGACTATTATCTTTTATGGTGATATATCTGTTTCTCTGATGTTTATTTATTTTTTATTTTCTTTATTAACATTCACACAAAATTTACCTTTAAAATTAATTTAGTGTAATTTATAAAAACATAAAACCAAAAAAAAAACGCTCATAAATTTCGATGCTATCGTGAATCCGTCATAAAACTAAAACTGTTGACCGTGGAGAAGGATCTAATCCTATATTGATTCCTGGGTCAGGCAATTACTTATTAGGTACTTCTCGCGTACCAGCATACTGTTTACTTGACCAGTTTCCAGGCTTAACCGGCAATATTCTTTCTATATTAACTTTGTTTACCCCTTTTCTTTTTTGTTTCCTATCAGTGGCATGTCGGACTCGAACCGACTAAAACCGCACGCCGTCTCGGGTACTAATAGCCGGGGAACCAGGTATACCCTAGAAATGAAGTCCCTGGTGCCCCGACATACCTCGGGTCATCTACAGACGAGTAGACGACCCCCCCCCCCGTGTGGGAACCCCATGTTCCCTGTGCTCCCTGGAAGCGAGCGAGCTTCGCAACGCGCTCGCCGCCACCCCGGCCTGCTTCTGCTAGGGTGACAGATGGCCTCACCTGTCACCCCCAGGCCTGCGCTTATGGAGGACGGAGGTCGTTCTGCGACCTCCGGCGCCTGAGTCGCCTGCGGTACCTGGCCCGTCCTCGGGCCTGGCGGGCCGGGAGAGTCCTAAACCTCTCCCGGTCCCGCTCCGCCGTCTCCTTCGCGAGCATAACTTGCTCGCAGAAGGAGACGGCAGAGGCTATCGAGCGAGAGAACTCCCACTCCGATGGCCGCCACGAGGTCTCGCCTCTGCTCAACCCACGCCGGGCACTCTGCCAGCGTGTGGAGAGCCGTGTCCACGGTCTGGCCATCGCAGTGGTGGCACTCAGGCGTTGGCTCCTTGCGGATCAGACACAGGTGATCCCCGAAACATCCTTTCCCAGTGATCACCTGCGTCAGTCGGTATGAGAGGGTCCCCGTGACGCCTCTCGAGCCAATCCTCCATAACGGGTCTTACCGCCGCGATGACGGCGTGCCCGAACTTTGTTTACCCCTAACGTTTCCATAAAATTGCACCGACGACGAATAGTCTGACAATTTACACATCTAATAGGATCGACTCAAAAAAAAAACGACCGCTAAAGTATAAAAATAACTCAAGTTAGAATCCATTAATATTCATTTACATCCAAGAACTGAAGAATCTTCACTCCGATCATAGCACGAGCGTTAAATGGATCACATTAAACGGAAAAAATCGCACGCGATTTTGCAATTGATTCAATCGTGGGAAGGAATGTTCTTGACATTGTTCGGTGATAGCTAACACAATGCAAATTATATGTATAAGGTTGTTTATTTTCACCATCTCTTGATTGACGATGATCTGAACATAGAGGTCAGACTTCACCCTGTCCTATTCAGAATCAGAATCAGAATCATTTATTTGTAAACATAGGTCAAATTACAATAGATTGTGAGATGTTATGGATCGGCAAGTCCTCTATGTTTTGCCCAGGGGCGTACAAATATACACATTTTTACACATTTTACACATTTTCAAATATACACTTTTTCGAATATCATAAATTTGTAGGATTATTTAAACTTCCACATTATTAATAACGTCAATGATAATAATTAATAATCACATGCATGTCCAAATAAATACAAAATACAGTCAATTTAATAAATGTCAAACAAATTAATTTAATGTCAATTCAAAATCATTAGGATAGTCGAGGTATTGTACAATTTTCTGAAGCAGTAATTATAGAATTGTCGTCCAAATAGTCCTTTAGTGAAAAATAGCACTTACTTATCAAGATTTTTAATACTTCTCTTTTAAAATTGGCCAGAGTTAGCACTTTAATTTTTTCAGGTAATTTGTTGAATATTTTGGTGGCCATACAGAAGGTACTTTTATTTATTAGTGCAGTTTTGCCATATGTCACTTGGAGTTCCGACTTATTTTTATCTCGTAGTTTTCTGTAGTAACTTTTAGTTGCTAGTTTGTATGATGAGATGTTGGATTTCACGAACATATTTGTTACGTATATGTACAGCTACTCGAGCTACTATTCGAGCTATTCTTTCACTTTCACTCCGCAATCCAGCCGTATCAGAAATATCCCTTTCATACCCTTACTCCATGGTTGACACTCGATTGAGACATACTGCCTCGGTGGTGCAGTGGTAGCCTTTGCGACTATTGTGCCTGAGATCTCGGGTTCGATTCCAGGGTCGAACCAAATGTTTCTATGATCTGCATATATTTATTTCGGCGTTTGGTGTTTTCTATGTATGTATTTAAGAAAAAAAAAATATAAGTATTCCATCAGTCAATCTAACTATCATAGTAGTATAATAGTAGCTTAAAACTAGATAGCATTGTGTGTCAGATGTCCGAAAATATAATAATTATTAAATTGAACTCCCACTGTGCTCTTTTTAATACACTTTTTGCCTCGCACTAATAATCTGTGGAACAATTTATCGTCTGCGGTATTTCCGGACCGATACGACCTTCAAGAACAGAGCGTACTCCTTCCTCAAAGGCTGGCAATGCGCTTGTGACTCCTGAGTTGCAGGCGTTCATGGGCGGCGGTGGTCGCTTTCCATCAGGTGACCCGTCTGCTCGTTTGCCCCCTATTCCAAACAAAAACCCATCGAATTCCTGAAGTGCCCGGTATTGACGGTAACAAAGTTGCTTCCTTCACACCAGGCACGCGTTGGTGCTCGTACTGTGTAAATCATAATCTACGCTACTGTACTATAATATAATTTTATACTACACCACGAAGTAAGCCGGAACTACCATAAAGCCATAATACAGTACTTTACGAGCGGATCGTGTGCCAATGAGCAGACATTTAGGTCAGGTCGTTAGCTGCAATGATGTAGTTCTGCTAACTTATATATATTATTTTTCCCCAGGTGGAGTGATATTACAAACGTGATCAACCACAAGAGGACCTTCAGTATCGAGTGCCAGAAGCAGTCGGGGTCGGCGTCTTTCATCCTCACTAGTCCAGAAGACGGGAAGTATGTGTGGTGGTCCTGTGTCCAGCAGCATACCTTCTACACGAAGCATCAGAGTGCGTTGAGTGAAGCACCCAGAGATGAGCATAGGCCTAAGTTTCAGGTAGAATAAAGTTATAGCTATTTCTTCTAAGTTACGGGTTTTACAAGCTGGGGTGAATGGGGATGACTATACGTGGTTAAATAATTAGCCTGTACTATGGTAACCAGACTGCTGATAAACATACTTAAATTTTTACAAATAGATATAGATTATAGATAAAGTACACCCAGACAGAACAAATTACCGCGCTCATCACACAATTATTTCTCTTAGGTGGGAATCGACGACGACCTCTGGCGTAGCAGTCAGGGTCACTAACCTCTATGCCAGGTCTTCTAATTACGGTTTTTAAAAATTTGTTTATAAAACTAACAACATTTTTTTTCTGATATTAATGCAATACACGAAACTATAATTAATCTGTCAATTCTGACAATAATTTTGAATATTTTAAACCCATTTTTTACTTTTCTCTACAATTTGTTGAAACATATCCTCCCTCATACAAAACTTCGTCTGACAATACACATACACAACAAGGAAGAATTATTTAATCGGTTCAGTCGTTTTTAAGTATGCTAACATACATTTCGCAATAGGTTTTTATTTATATAGATTGTATTGTTTGTAGTTCCTCGTCTTTGCTTGTGCAGTCAGCATTCACGATGAAATACAGTTATGTAATTTATTAAATGTATTCTTATCGCACACATCACTTCAACAGCCTTTAATAGTCCACTGCTGGACATAAGCCTCTCCTTAGAAAGGAGGTTTTTATCCTACTTCACCACGCGGACCAGACGGGTTGGTATAGGGTTTGTCTCAAGTTTTCCTTCTCTTTGCAGTGGTGTTGTCCTGCGTAGTTTGCTCCCCCGGGATGTATAGGGGTGGTGAAATTGCATATTCTTAATCCGTCACCACACGGATACATTCCTATATAATGACTTAATTGACATAGCGTGCTCTATACTGACTAGATAGTCTCACCTACTCACACATGTAGAAGTAAAGTCCTTTTATCTCCTTGTTGTGAATGTGCTGTGTGATTTCTATCTGCAGTCTTTTAAAGAATTGAGCATGTCCTCCTCTTCCTCCATTTTCGGTAGAGATCCGTAAGCAATGTTTCAGGGGACTTAGAATCTCAGATTTCAATTGGTGCCTGTACAATGAACACGATGACAGCTAGAAATTTCATAAAATGAACCTTCATTATAAATCATCATTTCCTTTCAGAGTTATCGAGAGTCGTATTTTAGTACGCTTAGTCAGACAAACCCAAAAATATTGTAATAAGAAAGTCCTAAATTGGCTTTCTTATCATGCATATATTTACACTCTCTAAACAGAACTCCAGATAATAAAAAAAGCAATCGAAGCGTGAGTGAGCGTGCCAGCTTTATAGATCAAAAGATACACTTGATGCGCACGCGCACACTTGTGTCAAACACCATCTATAATAAACATACTCACCAGAATAGATTAGTATCAGTTATTAATTTAATTACCCATATGTTTTTTTTATGTGAAAGTGTATGAATTCTCAAGCAAATAGTTTAAGTGAGATTGATTGGTAGTTAGTTGAAGAAAGGGGAGGGAGGGAGGGGGGCAAGCTGTGTTGTTGTGTTCAATTGAACGATAAATTTGATTAGGGAATCAGAGTCACGGCAAGTTTTTTTAGTGAGTTCACTTAGTAAAGTAATAATAGGTCTTTACCTATGTAATTGCCGTTTTGTATGCAATAAGTGAAAGTACTTATTTTTTCAAACTTTTTTATTTCTGTTATTCGAAGTAATCACCCATGCAATCGACGCATCTTTGCCAACGCATTGGCAGTTTATTGATGCCCTTCTTGTAAAAATCAGCTGGACGGGAGGCAACAAACTGTTCAAAGGCATTTTGTACTGCCTCTCGGGAATTGAATTTTTAACCCACTAAAAAGTTGTCTAAATTTTGGAAAAAGTAATAGTCGGTAGATGCAAGGTGATTCCAGCCAGAATCAGGGCGAGTTGGAGGGTTTGGACTCCGATAACTTAACTCACTTGGTGAAAAGATACATAAGATTCTTAACACTTGTGTTCTGTCTTCGATCGAGCCTGGTCCGTATTTGCCGAAGCCGAAACATGGCTACGCACTCCATGGCTATTAAGTTGCAAGTGTCCATGCGCGGCGGTACTCACTTTCCGTCAGGTGTCATCTGGTCGTTTGTCTTTTTTTTGGTATAAGAGGGGGGAGGAGGGCATACGATAAGAAAAGCCTTGACGGGCCTGTTGGTCTAGTTTAGTGACCCTGACTGCTAAGTCGGAAGTCGTGGGTTCGATTCCTATCCAGGACAAATATTGTGTGATGAACACGGTCATTTGTTCTGTGCCTTGGTGTAATTTATGTACACGGAGTTTAAGTGTTATCCTGTGTGTATCTTTGTCAATAGGAGCACGGTCTATCAGATAGCCGCGAAGAGTTGGACGCCAGGGAATTAGGCAGCGTGTCAAGGCTCGAACCTTTGACTGCGGCACACCGGGCGTACTCTACGAGCTGTCTCGAACTGGCGGAACAGCATCACCATCAGCCTCCACAACCGATACATCAGAACAGGTATCTTTGACCTTGATAGTCATATTAACTCTCCTGAATCCAGGATTGAATGGTATTGCTTGAGTTATCACTGAGTACAGACTAAACGCGCAGCCTAAACTGTGTCATGTCACTACTTTTTTTACAATCAATCGATTATTCCCTTCCTTTTCTGAAGTTTATTGCTTAATATGTGACTTTTAACTAAACTACTTTTACCGTGGGAGAGCCATGATTCGGCACGAAAGGGCCGGCTCGACCGGAGTGATACCACGACCTCACAGAAAACCGGTGTTAAGCAATTCTTTCGTCGCCTTTCACTGAGTGAGAGAGGTTACGGGAGCCCAAATCCCTTCTCCCGCTGGCTCGAGCGGGAGGGACTCCAAGGTCAGCAAAGCACTTGTGACTTTTGAGTTGCAGGTGTCCATGGGCGGCGGTAGTTGCTTACCATCAGGTGACCCGTCTGCTCGTTTGCCCCCTTATACCATAAAAAATAACTAAATCTCATTATTACTGCCTAATTAGTACTCCTACTAAATAACTATAAAAAAATTAAACAAACTATCGGAATTTATTTAAATAGCTCGAATTCAACAAATACTTGGCCATTAAAAAACGATTTGAATTGAATTAACGACTTAAAATGCTTTGGTATTGGTTGTAGTAAGTCTTTATTAAGTTGGCGCATTCAGAGAATAAATCATATTTATTCCATGAATCACAATTTTCATCAAAAGATAAATAATGAATTCACTTCAAATATATTCAGTGAACATTACAACAAATAATATTTTTTCAGAGCACTTCTACCATCATACCGGCCCGCTCCCGACTATGAAACTGCCATACAACAGAAATACCAACAGCAAAGAGCAGAAGCTCAACTCCGCTACCAAAACCACCACCACGCCCAAATGGTCAACACCAGCACCAAACCCTTAGTTTACGGTTCACACCCTGACATCCACCGAATCCACTACCCTGATGTCACTCGGCACACTCAACCGGTAACCACAGAAGAATACCCATACGGGCTCAAGTTTATGGGGAATTATCCCTTTGCTGTCAATCCCAACGTGCAAACAGACATAAATCAACTACACTTCGTCAATGTATATAAACCACCCCCACCATACCCCTCAAATGGATTAGCATCAAATTCCACCCCAGACTTGGCTGTTGCCAGCCAAGCTCTGAACTACCACAGAGGATACATCAATTCACATGTCTCTGGCTCAAGTCCAGACTTAGTTTCGACAAGGACAGCCTTGAACAGGCAATATTTAGGATATATCAACCCTAGTCACATTAACTATAGACCAAATATCATGCCGGGGACCCACGGTACGTACAACAACCTTGCATCAGTCTTAGACCCAAAACCACACATATTTATAGACCCACATCATATATCAGACAACATCCAAAAAGTATACGACGAAAGAGGGAATATTATGTACTCTATGCCCATGCAGAGGTTGCCATACCAAAGACATGTGGTGTTGCCACAATCACAGCAAATTAAACTTGGAGATACACCAGAACCAATATACGAAAATGTTCCTCTACCCTGGCAGAATGAAGGGAAAATTACAATGAGGGATCGGGCACAGAGTTTAACGACTACAGATGAAATAGCTAGATTAAATGAAAGGAATAGCAGTCATCCCACGATAAATAAATATTTATCACCGAATTACGTTCCTGTCAAACGTGACAACCCTGATAGTCATTATGTTAATGCTCAGATCATTAAAGGCGTCAGAGAGACGAGTGTGCCGAAAGATCTGACTGTATCATCCAGGTCTATGAACAGAGAAGCAGAGTTCGAGAACGTGGCGTTATCGATAGACAGGCTGTCTTTACACGATGATAAGGACTACGATGAAACGCCTTACCAAAGTCTGTCGACCCACAGGGTGTCCAACAATAACACCATTAGTGCGGTGAATAAGGGTGAGAATGTAACTTCGATTGTTGTGAACAACGATTATACCACTGGGACTACTGATGCAACGATTTCTACTATCAATAGGTAAGTGAGTTAAATACCTATTGTATTAGTTACATGGCATTTGACATCTTAAGAAATTTGGGTTTTATGCAAAATTGACATGATTCTTAGAAGTTCGGAGCCAAGTCGAGCTACAGGTACGTGACCCTAAAAGCTGTTCGAGTTGTTGCGTACTTTAACCAATCCATCTGTAAAAGCAATGTTTCTTAGCATTTATTTGTTATCTACCTTGCCATTCAATATACTACCAAAAGAGATACTAAAACTGCCTCCAAGCCTCAAAGTCAATGTACACACGGAATACGTTTATTATTAACTAGCTGACCCGCGCAACTTCGTCTGCGTCTCTCAATAGTAATAAATTTTCTCCGTTTTTGAAATATTCTTCATTGGTGCTCCGCTCCTATTGGTCTTAGCGTGATGATATATAGCCTATAGCCTTCCTCGATAAATGGGCTATCTAACACTGAAAGAATTTTTCAAATCGGACCCTACTGGTCCGATTTGAAAAATTCCTGATTAGCGCGTTCAAACAAACAAACAAACTCTTCAGCTTTATAATATTAGTATAGATGTATAATTTATTTTTCTTACATTATCATTAATTAATAAAGTCATTAATTTATCATCTACAGAAGCAACGAGTTAAGCACAACAGGGAATTGTTCATCTTTTATCACTTTGCTGACAGTTCAACAGAAACCGAAACGAGCAAAACGAGTACCTCTTCGAAGGAGAAGAAACGACGTCGTTGGGGCGTGTGGATGGGGCGCAGCTCCAAGGACGTGCGCTCCGCCACGCTCGGCCGCCCGCGCCACGCGCCCGCCCCGCACACGCACCGCTGGTCCACGGGGCTCGCCAAGTTCCAGCCGCTACCGCCCAGCATCACCAAGGAGACCATGGTTAGTGAGACTGTACCGTAATTATAGGTCTTTGCACCTACCGACTATTACTTTTTCCAAAATTTAGACAACGTTTTAGTGGGTAAAAAATTCAATTCCCGAGAAAGTACAAAATGCCTTTGAAGAGTTTGTTGCCTCCCGTTCAGCTGATTTTTACAAGAAGGGCATCAATAAACTGCCAATGCGTTGGCAAAGATGCGTCGATTGCATGGGTGATTACTTCGAATAACAGAAATTAAAAAGGTTTGAAAAAATAAGGACTTTCACTTATTGCATACAAAACGGCAATTTCATAGGTAAAGACCTAATATATCATCTATACTACTTAACAGCATCTATATCAGGAATTCCCAAAGTGGTCCGATTGTTTCCCAAGTCCCAAGTGGTTTCCCAGGGGTCGACATGAACTAAAACTGATACTAAGATATTGGTGCTAATTCTGTTGTTCGAAATATTTCTAAACAAAACTAAAAATCACTAAAAAATTGTTTAGTTCTGTCATACAACGTTTCTAATTCTGAAAACGTGATACTTGACAGGACTAAACTAATTTTAAGTGATTTTTAGTTTAGTTTAAAAAGTTTTCGAGAAACAGAATTAGTACCACTGTATTAGTTGTGTTACGTGTACCAACTTGTTATGAGAATGACTAATATTTTAGTAGACAAGTCGTCTATAAGCGTGCAGTAATTTGGCTATGGGGGTCTGAGGTATCACTTCATTTTAGAAAAGGGGTCTCTTTTTTGAGAATAACTGATCTATACTATCCAGAGGCACCGAGAGAGATCTTAAATAACTTTTAATGTTTATCCCAGTACAGTGCTGGGTACAGCAGGACAACAGATGCTATTTGTTGAGGAATTGAGCGTCCTATGGCTATGTGTCAGAAGTCGCACTGAATGGATTAGCTATATTGCCACCGGTGCCTTTGTCTGTAAACAGTTGCGTTTCCGTTGCATTGTGTATTGCCCGTTGTTTCCTTTGTTCATGTTCTATCTCACTTCCTTATTTCATCCGGCAAATCTTGACCGTTGCTTGCATAACACTATAATTTCGAATTAAAATACTCAACATCCGGATTGATCGCATTCGAAATACGGAAGTGCTGCGAAAAGCCAATATCATGGGGATTGAGGCCTACCTCATGCGGCGGCAACTCCGCTGGTGTGGACACATTTCTAGAATGGCACAAAAACTTACGGCAAAATGCATCTTTTTCTCGGAACTTGAGGAAGGTAAGCGTAAACATGGCGGAAAACTCCTCAGGTATACAGATGTTCTTAAGCACCACATAAAGAGGTGCGATATTGAGCCTTCTGGGTGGGAGCGTATGAGCTGCTCAACGATCGGAATGAAGGTCTTTGGTGAAAACCAGAGTCGAAGACTTTGAGAACAATCGCTGTTATGAACTGGATGCTCGGCGCGATAAAATAAATGCACGCCCACCTTGTGCTGTCACCAACAATTGCTGCAGTTATGTGCTCACATGCTCGCATTGTACGCGTCATCACATCACATGTCCAGCAGTGGACTATTAAAGGCTGTTGATGTGTGATGATGATGATAGCCACACACGAGCACAGCAACGACAATTTGAACGGAGTTGAAGTCGGTTGCCCTGGCTGAAATCGGTCGAGGATAGTAGCAATTCCGAATTCAGTGTAACACCTGGATGCTGTTAATAATAACTTCTTGGCTCCATGCAACTCTGATTTTAATGTGAATCTGATCTGCCATAGTGAAACGTAGTTCACTACTGGCATATTGTTTCTGACTGCTGTCCGATAACCACGGCGGGTCCTGTGCGATTTTCTTTCTTTAGTGTCCTATGTCTCCTGGATTGAATAGAGGGCGTCCACAGCAAGTCTCCATCTTGATCGGTGCTTCTCTTCTTCTGATGCTTCTGCATCTTGCTGATGTGCCACGCCTTGTTCGTCGCCAAGTTTGCGTTGGACGGCCACGCATGACTCCTGACACAAAAGTTCACCTACTGAGGGTATAAACACTTTTCATAAGATGCAGTGTATGTTTGTTTGGTGTTTTATTTATAGAAACGGCGGAATAAATAAATACAATCATTATCGCTTTTGTGTCACCACAATCGACATCTCTAACAGAAATCTGAACTATGCAGTGTTCATTTACGGGTAGGGCTGTCACTCGATAGATATTGTAAATATAATAGCATTAATTAAGCGCTTTGTGCGTACTTTATCTTATTTAATAAATAAAATAAAATAAAAAAATATCTAAATTCTTCTTCGCAAAAGCTGGTCGTCGTTTAACGTCGTCGTAAAACTAAACGATAGTTTTGAAGGTGGTTAAAGTATTACAAGAGATTATTAGTTCAAAAATGACGGGTCCATTGGTGTAGTGGTTAGGTTAGAATGTCGGGTTCGGTTCCCACCTTTTTTTTTCTTTTTTTTTTGGTTTTTGTTGACGGGGTGGAAAATCCCTTCGGATCTCCTGCTCCTCGGGGACTCAGGAGCCAGGAGTATGTGGTGATTCCGCCCCGACGGCCGGCCTTAGGTGTCCTACACTGGGTAGGACCCGGACCATGTTATTTCAGGTCCTCCCCGAATTGACACCATGCCTAATCAGGCCCTATCCAAGGGGAGTGTTCTCCCTTCAATCGCGGCATGGCGGCCCGATCGCATCTTAATGCAATCAGGCCGGCCATTCCATCCCCTACCGCAGCAATCAATCTGCCACCAGAGATCCCCACTCTCTGGCGGCCCGCGTATTTAATGTACTGGTGGCCGAGGTATTTAATGTACCGCCCGACCTCGACCTCTGTTCCCCCCACTTTAATAAGCGTTCTGGTGGGTACTGCACCTCTGCGTTTCCTGTGAAACCACAGGGCTTCCGTCGGGTTCGGTTCCCACCTAGGACAAATGTTGTGAGCACGAAAATTTGTTCTATCTAGGTGTAGATAGATATTACTAGAAATATATAAGAAGACGATATTTTTTTTTCATATATTTGAAGTTAATCAGTAGGAATCCCATACACTGTCTTAGACTTTAGCCTTTTACTCTTAATAGCAATAATAATTGTGAACTATAGTTTTTTGTATTCACGGATTATCCTCCAAATTGCACATTTAAAAAATGTTGTCAGAAAAACCCATCATTCGATAGTTGCTATTAATATTTTTTTAATTTGCCAACCCTACATGTATGACGTAACAGAGACAATAACTTGTTTATCAACAAATAACGCCCGCTTCCACACATCTGTAACGCATTATTGTGACCACAGTATATTATTACGATTGATAACATTCCTGTAGAATTGCTCCACACCAGTTTTGTGCAACGCTTTGTCTGCTCATCATGTTTTATAGAAAAAGGAATCGTGAATTCTCTAAATATGGCGCATGGTCTAAAAAGATCGAATATATTGATGTACGTATTGTTTTATGTTCCTTTAGAATTTATTTGACCAGACCATGCTTCACCAATGGGCCGGAACCTTACTTGGTTTTTTTTTTAATGCGTGGTGGTCGCTTCCTGTCTGCTTTTTGCCCTCAATACAAAAAAAAAGTTTCTGACAGAAATAAGAACAAAAAAAAAATTCTTACCTATGTGTGTCAATGGAATTCAAAGGGTTAAAACCAAGTTAACAGCAGTTTTCACTGTTTGAATTGGGTTTACTAGTATCAGTGTGTTCTGAATTTGAAATTGTGGGGGAGAATTTAATAACACCAGCGTTGTTGTTTGGAAAGCCTTTACATCAACAGATAACTGGTCACCATCTGGTTAGCCAGGCCACTAACCTCTCGGTTTCATCAGCGTTTACAGTCAGTGCGTTGCGGAAAAACGTATACCCAGGCTCAGCACTCCGATAGGAACCAATTACTAAATTGACAACAGCCAAGGTAGTTTCTCTCTTGCCAACTACAAGAGAAAGAACCTCTTCTAAAATTTTACACAAATGAGAATGCTCAAAAAAGCCAATCGATAAAATATTCAGTCTTATAATATATATATAACAGTCAGCAGATACCCTCTTCAATCTTGGACTGGGTGGTTCCTGATAGATATTATATTGCTTTCGTCCCTTTCAGGTCCAAATCCTCGAACGCAAAATGACAGACGAGCAGCTGTCTTTCGCGTTCGAACAGATCCCCAAGGGCCGCGACACTGGAGGGGAATTCCGAACAGCTCTGCTGCCGCAGCACGCGGCGCTGAACGGGTTCTCGTCGGACCACCTTCCTTATGAAGACAATAGAGTCAGGCTGCATCCGAGCGCGACCAACCCACACGGGTACATCAATGCGTCACATATTACGGTAAGTGTTTTTAGTAATTATGCATTGATGCAGTGATAATCTAGTTTGTTTATTATTGTAATCTATTACTATTGACTGCACGGATGGTTTAGTAGTTTAAGCGGTCACCTCGCTTCTTCCTACTGCGCTGAGTGTTTATAAATGGGACTAATCCCACCCACACGCCCACCACTGTAGTTCCTGTACAGGATCCACAGCAGTGATCCAAGAACACTCCGAGTTATGACACTCGGGAAGTCCCAGGAAGAAATTAAACTGACTTGGAACCCGCAACGAAATTAATCAGAACAAAAATTGGAGGAGTTCGAAATACAACGCTAAGTGTACATGCGCTGAGTGTTGTGGGTTGGATCTCCAGTGATCTACAAATTGTTGTTGTGAGTTTAGGTGTTATTTGTGTCCGTTTCATATACGTTTGTAAAGTCCCTCGAGCCATAGGATATTTTTCTAGTATGGCAGTTATTTTTTTTTTAATAAAAAAAAGAATGATCGTAACATCAGTTGTAACTATGCTACATTTCGTGTGTAGTGAGCATGCATATATATCTATTGACGACTGGATGACGTAGTTAGTGGTTTGTGTAACGCACTACTATTCCAAAAGTTGCGGGTTCGATTTCCGCTCAAGTCAAACATTTGTGTGCATGAACATTTAATGTTTGATTTGGCCTCGGTGTTTCTATGTATAATATGTATATATTTACAAAAAAGTACCCATAGGACAAACTCTGCTTAGTTTGGGACTAGATGGAGTTGTGTGAATGTGGTAGAATTATTATTATTCGGTTGGTATACATAATAAGTGAATCCTATTGATATCTGGTAAAAAAGTAAGGACAGTTTTTATGAACATTTTGTAAGTTAGTAAAAGATTGTAGCGTGTCGTGTATGGTGTTAGATGACGGTGGGCAGCACGCAGCGGTTCTACGTGGTGGCCATGGTGGGCGAGGGCCGCGCGGCGGTGGGCGGGGCGTGCTCGTGCGGGGGCGCGTGCGCGCTGGTGTGGCAGTGCGCCTGGCAGGTCGGCGCCGCGCTGCTGGCCCGCCTCGGGCCCGCGCCGCACTACCTGCCCGCCGACAACGCCACAAAGGACTTCGGGAAGGTACGCTCCACACTACACGCTCTTCACTATTTCTAATCGAATCATTTCATATTTTATGTCAATAAACTTTTTATAGTATATGATGCAAACGGGTTAACCGGTAGCAAAGGTCTACCGTCATCCAAGTGCCTTGCCACCTTTTGAGCTGGTTGCGAAGAGAAGAATCTGGTGACCTCACTCGTTGAAAAACAACAAAATAATTGTTCGACACCGGTTTTCTGTCGTGCCCAAACTATCCCAATCTCATATTGCAACCAAATTCCCCCTGGCTTATACTCTGCCAAAGCTTTCTTATTTGGACATGCTTCGTTCGAAATTCTTTATATTTCGAACAATAAATATTACTACTGACTTCAACACACAAACAAAACATGCTTCGATACCATCTAACGAAAAAGCACCGAACTACAGAGTTATTAGTAATCTTGTATCGCGCAATTACAGTTCCAATTAGTATATATAAATTTCAAAAGTACTTAGAACCTGTTCCTAAATAAAATTCTATGAAGCTAATCATCATAGAACTAGATGATTATAGTTAAACCGCCGTAAGCTTGGCCCTCCTGATGGTTTGCGGGACGCGGGGCGGGTGATGCGCTCGGCTATACATGACACGATGTACTAACTCGATATCTGCAGATTTATTTGTTTGAGATTTAATCTACACACGATGTAATAAAAATCGAATTTATTTCCATGTATTATAATGTCAGTGTATTGTAAGTTTTTATGATTAATTGTAAAATTTAATACTGTAAAATAATTTTAATAAAATCACCTTATCGTCATCATGTAAATTATATTCAGATACAATTTAAAAATTAAGTAAAATAATAAATATTCTTTATTAGAACTTTAACCGTAGAACCTCTGTAAGCCGAACTTCAAGTTTTTAAATCTTTTTGTGACGCAGAGTCGGCAGATTATCCATGTTGCAAAATAATACCGTGTGTAGCAGTCTTAAGAAAAATAACACGTACAGCCATGCTTTCACGTCAGTCACTGCCGGCGGACAGCGACGCACTAGCTAATTGGTTGAATGCACCCCCGCCCCGCGTCCCCCAAACCATCAGGAGGGCCAAGCTTACGGCGGTTTAACTATAGTACAAGTAACAATTGTCAGTACCCAAGATAAATTATTAATCATTTAAAATAAGGCGTCATCGATTATATGAACTAATTGTTCTTTTCCTGACGCTACAAACTCTTTGACTCACTATAGCTAGTGACCAGACTCTACGTCGTCATTCTCAGAGTAATTTTAAAAGTAAAAGTATTCGCCAAAGAATTTTAAATAAGTTTGAAATCGTCATTATGTCATGATTTAAATTATATTATAGATGAAGACTATCATACAGTATAAATAGGTGTAACATTTTTTTTTCAGTTTCAAGTATCTTGTGGTACTTCATCTCGAACGACGTGGGGTGCGTCTGTCCGAGTGCGAGTTCGAAACGGTGCACGCGCAAGGGACCTGTGGCACGTTCACTACGCCAAGTGGCCCAACAACAAGACGGTGCCCGATGATGTCGACGATTTCCTAGGTAAGTAATTATCAACGTTCGGTAGTAATAACGTAAGGTCGGTTAAGGTTTATAAGGTCGGGCCTAGAATACTTCCTTGTAGTACTCCAGAGGTTACGTTTCATGTTTAAGATTTACTACAGTTAATTAATTTCAGATTATCGTAATCAATTTGCGTAACATCCATTTGTTATTGTTTGTACTCGATGTGTTTTAAATATGTTTGTCCAACGTCTTTTGTTCTAACACGATACGGTTATGATAGCCTATGTCTAACGCTTCGGCTAGTTATAACCGTCAGCGCAATAACCGATTACGTCGTCAGCGTTCCTGTCGGAGATGAATAGCTTGCGGCTGGCGAGCGAGGCGGAGGCGCTGGGGTGCGGGGGGGCGCTGGGGGGCGCGCTGCAGGCGGCGGCGCCGCTGCTGGTGTGCTGCCCCGCGGGCGCAGGCCGCTCCGGAACCGCGCTCGCTGCAGACGTGCTGCACGACATACTCGACAACAACCAGGTCTGGCACCCGTCCTCTTTGTTTTATCTTAGGCCTTTGAATTCGTGTCGCTATCGAAATATAAATTAAAATATCGCTTCGATACGGAACACACGATGTGATGTTCTAACGCCGAACATGTTTATCGTTTTATGAATGAACGAAATACAAAAACCTAATCCTAAAAATAAGTTTTACTCTAATCTAAACGTGTATCCTTCAGGGCTCTATTCTTGGACCGACGAGTTTTGAGACTGATAATAAACAAAAATATAATGATGTTTCTTTTAATTCAAGCACTGTGTTTTTTTATCTCCAGGAACTAGACATCCCGCGTACCATCAGTATGCTGCATCAGCAACGAGCGAATCTAATACAGAACGTGCATCAATACAAATTTTTGCACCAACTACTGTTACAATACTTGAAACAATCACGACTCATATAATATTAAGGAGGTTAGCATAAACGTATACATTTACGGATAAACAATAGTAAAATAAACAAAAACTTTGAAAGTTACAAAAATATCTAGTGTTGCCAAATAATAGTAAATATGAATGTATTTACAAAAAAAAAGGATATAGGTATTCTATCAGTCAATCTAGCTTTCATAGTACAAGCTCTGCTTAATTTGAAACCAGATGGCGTTGTGTGTCAGATGTCCGAAATATTATTATTATTTAATAGGAATTTATAAATTCTGATACATTATTCTTCAATATATTTTAATCATTTCTTTTCTCCTTCAATTTTTCTTTAAAGTTCTACACATTATATCTACAGGAATTGTAATCCCTTCCTAATTTGATTTTAACATATATATGTTTTTAGAATTTAAATTACCCACATTTTATGTGAGTAACATAATACTTGACAACACTAGTTATTTCATAATTCGCCTATAATTAATGAATTTCAGTACCAAAGGTTTTGAAAATACACGCATTTCGCAAAACACAAGTTCTAACAAAGAAATAAATATATAGAAAGAAAGATATTAAAGTTATAATGGCATTATTAACTTTTAGTATTTATCTTAGACACTCATTGGAGGTGAAAATAATTTATTTAAAAAAAATCGTGCCTTTTATATGTAATATGTTATTAGTCTGTGAGATTCTGTTACTAGATGTTATAGCATATATCTTTGCATCTCATACACTATTACAAGTGTAAAAAAACCTATTTATTTGAACATATACATTATGCAGAGGCGATTTAATATACAGTGTATATATATAATGAACCAGCTGTTCCCTGCCTTACTGTGCTTTTTCACATTTTGGAATAACTACTATTTAACTAATGCGAAAAATGGATAAAAACAATCTCTGCAGCGGGTTGTATATCATGTCAAACTTGAGCTCAATCGGTGCAGAGCTTTTTAAATTTTTGGAGTGTATGTTACACAAACCTACTTAACATTTTATATAATAATATATAGATTGTTTCAATATTATTAAAACTGAAAAAATCTTTGATAGTATACTAATTTATTTGAATGCATGCATGCATGTACAACGGTCAAATATAGCATGCCTGTACTTAAAATACAATTATTTTTTTTCGCATTAAATTAATAAAAAAACAGACAGAGCTAGCGACGAACAGACTACAAATTAACATGTATTTTTATGTATTTTATGGATTTTTTTTAAATTTTATGGACTAATAGTAATTTTATAATATGTGTAAATGATAGCATGAAGTGTATTTTCTTTTCGTTAAAGTGCCAGCTAAATATTGCTCAACCACGACGATTCAACCTTAAGAAAATTATGTTGTAATTTCACCGTAAGGTATATATTGTATAAAAAGGTTTTATGTCAAATTATCTCTGTACACCAAAACAACAAAGAATTTAATCTATATTGCCAGCAACTTCCACCAGGGAGAGCCACGTTTCGCTATGCTGGAGGCACCGAGTCACAGAAAACCGGTGTTATCTATCTCGTTACTTTTCATCAAGTCGGTGAGATTACTGGAGGTCCCCCTCTCCTGACATAATTCTGAACGGGAAGCTCTCAAAGAAGAATGAACCAATGGGCGGTGCCGTCCCATGAAATTACGAAAGCTTTTTCCGTAACAGTACGTGGGTTTTTTTAAATGAAAAAATAGTAATCTAGTTGAGATGTCAAAAAAACAACAATCATTATTTATAGAACATTGATTACTTATATGGAAACTAGAAACAACATTGAATGCCTTTAGAGTAGGTAAAAATATGAATTTGTTTGTTTTGGTGTACAGAATTATATATATTTGTGTATAATGTAGGTATAAGGATATCAACCGACTGGATCACAGATCTATTACTTTTGAGATTTAATTAATGTGAACTGAAAAGGCAATGTTCCACCTTGTTTCGTCTAGTGATGTTGTATATTATGTATTTATTTAACTTTTTTATTAATAATTTTTGTATAGAAAGTGTTTTTATGAAGATAACGCGTTTTTTGTGATTGTTGAATGAATTTTTATATGGTATACATGTGGTGGGCTTGTTTTATATGAATTTATATGTGAAATGAAAAAGTATTATACATTTTGAGGCAGGATATTGATTGTATGGAAGTGGCGAATGAATTTGATGTAATTATTTAAAAGTATTAGTTAAAGAGTTAAGGACATTTAAGAAAAATCTAGAAAACTACTATGGTAATAAACATTTAAGGTCACAAATATAGGTCCTGTATTATATTATACAAAGGTTTGTCTTTATATACAAATATTCCGTCCACTAATAAGCCCAGCAGTGAATGTTTACAATTTTACGTAGTGCCGTACCGATATCAAAACCGATGGTATGTAAAAGAACTGAAAAGTAGCTAAAAACTGCATTTTGTCTTTTTAACGGACTGCGCCTGAAAGAGACTTGTTTTTCGAGTGTATTTATGTATGTTTTCATTGGCACGCACTAGTCTATACGGCTTGAAGGAGTTTGGCGTTTGAGGCTGCGTTAAATTCGTCTTAATTCAGACACTGAGTATATGAAAATTTGAAAATGAAAATCGCGGGTTTGTAATTAAAGCACACATTTTTACGCAGTCGGTTTTTTTTTCAATAGTAAGCTTGTCATATTTATGAATCTAAACCGTGTATAGAACACAACACGCTAGCTGTTAAAGAAACACGTTGTTATTTACGTGTATTACGGGGATACCCGACTGAATTCGGACATGTCAAGGGCTCCTTTTAACCGACTTCATACAAAGGAAGAGGTCCCCAATTTTGTTAGTTATATACTCATATTAATAAATACTACCACTCACCAAATAATGATATTGAGTTTTAACTAAGAATTTTGTTTTCATGTACACTATAAATCTATACTAATACTAGCTGATCCGGCAAACGTTGTATTGCAACAAAAAAAAAATTAGGGATGGGTCACCCTTACCATTCAAAATTGTGAATCTAAACCATTCCCAGATCCCCTTGAACACACACAAAAAATTTCATCAAAATCGGTCCAGTCGTTTGAGAGAAGTTCAGTGACATACACACTCACAGAAGAATTATATATAGCTGAAGAGTTTGTTTGTTTGTTTGAACGCGCTAATCTACTACTAACTACTGGTCCGATTTGAAAAATTCTTTCAATGTTCGATAGCCCATTTATCGAGGAAGGCTATATATCATCACGCTAAGACCAATAGGAGCGGAGCACCAATGAAGAATGTTTCAAAAACGGAGAAAATTTATTACTATTGAGAGACGCAGACGAAGTTGCGCGGGTCAGCTAGTTATATATATATATATATGTGTGTAATGTATATAATGGTGTTAAAAATAAACTGCCACGATATCCTGCCTCGTTTAGCGAAGTAAGTTTAAAGTGTAACGATGTGCCTTAAGTGAGAGATTACCGACGATCTGATGTCAATTTCGCGTGCCTTCTAGATTTACATAATTATTATATACTGGGTTCGATGCTCGTATCCTTTGGTGCAGAAAATAAATGAACATAATAGTTAGTTTCTATTTCTTTCACTCGTTTTAATAACAACCCTTTTAACGGACTTGTGACTCTTTGAGTTGCAGGTGTCATGGGTGACTTACCATCAGGTAAACGCGCAGACGTGCCGTACACCCCCCTATGAAAAAATATAACGTACTTGTAATTATCGTATCGAAATGTAGCTTTTTATGTACATGTTGTTTGTATGACAATGCTTTATTTGACATCTTGGAGCTGATGTGATGATGGAGTCAAGAGGTGCCTAGTGGAATTCTGAAGTGGCTATAATTAAACTCGAGTTTAGGCCCTTATGATTCGATTTAGCATCTGTCTTAGTTACAATGGTCATGAAGCCAGGTTTTTTTTAACTATAATTTATTTATTGACAGTCGACATCAAAGTTTTCACGAGTACTACAAAATGCAGAGTTAATTATTTCAATAAGTAATTCTAGCAATAAAACAGTTAATTATTGGAACTTTTGCCTGAATACTGCTTATCGGAATACACAGTTGTCTTTACTGAGGATATTTAAATGTTTTTCTATTTGTTCTTCTAGTTTCAGCCAATATTTCTTCATGTAATCTTATGAATGTAACGTGTTATGTAGAAACTGTACCTAAAGGTATACGAGTATCTTGACCGAGTCTTCTAATGTTATAAAAATGTAGTTTGTTTTCTAAAACTTTTGAGTGTATCGGCAATGCGTTTGTCATTGATCTATTTATATCTCACAACAGATAATTAAAACTACCCAGGACAACAGCACTGCAGAGAGAAGGAAAACTTGACACAAACCCTCTACCAACCCGTCTGGCCAGCGTGGTATAGTAGGCCAAAATCTCCTTTCTAAGGAGAGGCTTATGTCCAGCAGTGGACTGTTAAAGGCTGTTGATGTGAACAGATAATTACTGTTCGATAGTTATTTCATGAGCTAACTTTACTAGTAACAAATATGTTAATTCAGATTAGAAAATTACTAATTTTTCTCCCATTAAAAACCTCACTTGTACTAAGAAATTAAAAAATGAAATACACACTTCAAAAAATGTACAATGTTTTTCGTTTAAACCTTTTTAAGACAGAATTGGTCCAAATAACCAACTATAAAAACTTCATCGTGCTGTATGCTTGATTGCCACCTTAGTAGTATAAAAAAATATAATTATAGTGTGTTAATAGGCGCATTGTCGATACACGTTGTGTTATTGGTGTAGTAATGTGTTCATGTCAGTTTGTATTATACTATCTAGTCGAACGGCAACTCCATATTATTATTAATTTAAAGTGTATATTCGCTGGAAACCTGTTTGTTTGTATTCACAAAAATATTTCTTAACATTTAAGTTTTTTTTAGTCACTAATGGTTTTTTAAATAGTGTTTTTTTTGTGATGTATTTGTAACTAAATCTTATTTTATATTGCAGTAGTGTTCACATATTTGTGAATTGTCTAAAACCTTGTTTGTATTCGAGTGCTCAGTTGTATTGTACAGAGGCAAGTAATATCGAAATTTGAACTGACAATAAAATACTAAGAAATGTTTTTGTTTGGTTTCATTTTGATACTAAATTCCTTTTTTTTTGTATATGCACTCTATGTACCTGTCTGATTAGTGTAGTGCTTAGTAATACTCGATGGTTTGATTATGTTTATGATTTTGTGATTGTGTAATTTATCTATAATATATACAAATACTTAAAAGTTTTTTTCAGCTATCTGGTTAGCATAGTACAGGTTCTGTCTAATTTATGATCAGACGGCACTGTGAGATGTGAAATTATTTATGAGTATTCAATAATGGTTAAAATTACCTAATTAAGGCATGATAACGATAAATTTTATAATCATAACAAATAATCGTTACTAAATTAGTCACGTTACAAATCATCATCATCATCAGCCTATCGCAGTCCACTGCTGGACATAACCCTCTCCCATTGCACACTTAGATCGATTTTGGGCTTCTCGCATCCAGCTCCTGCCAGCCATATTGGGCAAATCGTCACTCCACCTGGCCTGTGGGCGTCCTACACTACCTTTGCAAAAAAACAAATAATCGATACTATATTAGAAATGAAACAAATCATTACAATCTATTATTATATTTCGGTAAAAAATTATTTCAATATCCTAACTTACATTACGGTGGCGGATAGTAAGGCCGGGGCGGAGGCCCCGGGGGCGGCGGTCCTCTACCTGGGAGTGGGGGGAAGTAGTTTGGAGGGGGAACATTGACGGGAGGAAATCTTGCGGCTGGTGCTGGCGGGGGCTCTGTATAGACTAAACCGGGAGGTGGCCCTGACGTTATAGGTAACCTTGGTGGAGGTGGTATTGTAGGAGGCGGTGCCGTATACACCGGCGGGTACAGGCCAGGGTACGGTGGATAGCTGTACCGCAGCGGTTCCATCTTTGGTGGTTCTATTTTGACCTCGGAGCCGTTCTTGATGGGAGTGACGACTGGTTTAGTGGTAACGGCGACAGGTGATACTGAAGTTGGCGGTGTAACGCAGAGGGGTTTCTTCTCGTTTTTTGGCTGCTTGTTCGGTGTTTGTAGCGGTGGGGAATCGCTACCGGAAGATTGAGGCTGTGGTGAGTAGAGATCTAGTACCTGCATTACATAAAACCTCATTAGTGAAATGAACATCTGTTTCTTTACCTCTACTAGTGAAATTTAACGCAAGGCATACTAAAACTGTCAACTGTCCAGAAAAAGACGAACTCTTCAATGCTTTGTAAAGACTAAATAACATAGAAAAATATTATCATAACCTTTGATCATCTAAATTAAAAAAAAAACTGATTTAAAATTACAATTAAAACAAAAAACATTTAAGTATTCATACAATCCTGGTATTTTTAATATAAAGATTAAAACCACTTTAATATTGGTTTTAGACTATTCTACTTTGTTTCCTCAGTTACATTCGAACAGAAATCTTTCTTAGGCCTGTTGGTCTAGTGGTTAGTGACCCTGACTGCTAAACCAGAGGTTGTGGGTTCGATTCCCACCCAGGACAAATATTGTGTGATGAGCACAGTCAGTTCTGTGTCTAGGTGGAATTTATCTATAATATGTATCTATTTAAAAATATATAAGTATGTTTATCAGCAGTCTGGTTACCATAGTACAGGCTCTGCCTAGTTTGGGATCAAACGGCCGTGTGTGAGATGTGTGAGGTATATTATTATATTATATTTTAATAATCTAACATACAAGTACCATGCATGTGCAATTTTATAAAAATTACCTGATGACAGATATCCTCAAGCAACTCCATAGTGATGTCTTCAACAAACATGTCCCACCAGGCATTATGTCTAGGCACTCTTCCGTTCCAGTCCATCACCTCAAACTTGCTGAGCTTACCCGCAAGGAACATGAGTGCTACTGCTATTACTTCTGGCTCCCATTGGAGGCACAGCGTTGTGCATAAACTGGAAGTATATAAATGAGATTTGATTCTATAGTTCATTATTGCAAGTAAATATAACAAGTTCTCTGAACTTCATGTTTTAGGACACTGTTTCTCTTTTGTGGCAGAGTGTTCACTATTGTGATGCAATATTTTCAAAGCAGTAAACATTTTGGGACACAGACCAACTCAATCAAGCTCATAATTTTTGAGGCTGTGTGATAGCAAGTATAAGGTGGGGTCTGGCTCTAGGTTTGCTAAATTAGTCATTGTCCGTTGCTGATTTTGACAGTATTAGTGGGGGCACACACAAATAATGCTTCCCTGTGATGATGGTAGAGTACTACCTGAGAAAATACCGCAGACGATAACTTGTTTCAGAGATTAGTGCAAGGCAAAAAGTATGTTGAAAAGTGCACAGTGGTGGAGCTTAAACAAAGTAAGTTTATTGGCATGCTCTGCCTTGTTTGGGATTAGACAACAATGCTAGCTGTGATATGTGTCATGGTATTATTATTAATGTCAAAACTAATGTGAGCAATTAGTGATATCTAACGATTTAATATAATCTTATAAGAAATAGTTAGGTATTGTTCGTAAAACTTTCTTGCCATCTGCTGCTAAAGAGAACTAAACTCATAGGTTTGTAGTTGTGACTCAAATGAATATTTCAATTGAGAAACTACAACTATTATAAAAAAGTATCAATAATGACGATGATGATTTTAACTGTGTGTACAATCAGTGTATGAACTATAAAGTGTTTGAGTAACCTTCAGCTGATTAGAGGAATATAGACAGTAATACATGACTAAGATAGAATGGGGGATCACTTACCTGTCGTTCACAAACGTCCATGCCATTTGCACCATCTTCTGTAACTTGCCCTTGTCTCCTTTCAGACACTTGGCGTACTTCAACAGGTAGCCGTATGGGTGTTCGACCTGGAGGTCGAATTTGATCGTCTGCAGCAAGATGCGCTCCAAAGTCATCACTTCTTCTTTAGGATCATCACCAAAAGTTGCAAATTTGTGCTCCGTTAATAACGACTTGGCAACTTTTATTATATCTTTGCACTTTTTCGGCGTCTCCTCAACTTTACCGGCCAAGAACAGGCAACAACATGCAGTTATGTACCTCGGGAATGTTTTGAACGAGTGGAACATGTAAAAACGATGAAAATAAACAACACCAGTCGCAACAGTGTTATAACCTAAGTCCATCTTCGAGCCAGTATCGATGATGAACCTGGCACCTTCCTTTCTATACCGATTCTCGGTTTCATTGGATATACCATCCCGGAACGACGGCGTGCTTTGTAGATCCTTTTTGTCATAGTACCAGTAAGGCATTTTCGTAAATAAACTATAACATATATATTTTCAAGAGACAATCACTAACCTCCACAGCCATTTATTTATTACTGACAAATAATTATAACCCTAACAATTAAAAAATGATATGTATATATTACACATTCGCAAGACTTGAATCATCTTAATTTTTTAAAGTTATAGTTACACGTTTGACATTACAGGAAATGTTGTCATTTAAAAAATGTTCCAAGAAATCCTATCGTTTGTTAATCTTTTTAAAATATTTTTTTATCTTTTTAATAATTTATTATAAACTAGCTGATCCGCGCAACTTCGTCTGCGTCTCTCAATAGTAATAATTTTCTCCGTTTTCGAAACATTCTTCATTGAGGCTCCGCTCCTATTGGTCTTAGCGTGATGATATATAGCCTATAGCCTTCCTCGATACATGGGCTATCTAACACTGAAAGAATTTTTCAAATCGAAACAGTAGTTCCTGAGATTAGCGCGTTCAAACAAACAAACAAACAAACAAACTCTTCAGCTTTATAATATTAGTATAGATATATATTTGAACATTTATTTTGCAAAAAAGCCTATTTCATTGAATTAATTACTTATCAAAACTAATTGCCAATGAGTAAATTGGTCATATCAAAAATGCTATAAAAATAGACATGTAATCATGAAATTTTTAAATGTTCTTTGTTACTTGATGGTTATGGTTATGCATTTTTTAATTATTTTAAGAGAGTTGATTAAAATTTGAAAAAAACTTTCTCATTTAAATAATATATTGTGATATTAAAAACTGCCTATTTCAACCAAGAAAGTCGGGCGACCTATTCTGTAGTAGTGCTTGTTACGTCTCGTTGATCAGTCACTTTATCTAGGATAGGGCTAACAAAGGGCCCTTTATAAAAAGTTCTCAGACTTATCTGCGACCACTTGCAACTCGACCGCCGCGGAGGTTCCCATTGTGGTCAAACTACCCCTTAGAAATGCGTCTCTAACACAATTAAGCATGAATGTGGTTGAACCCAGCAGACTTGTTTTCCTAATAAGTAGATTGTGACTTAATGGTACTATTCATCAACAGTTATTACTAGTTCACTGTTGGACATAGGCCTCTAATTAAAAAGGAGGTTTTGGCCCACTATATGGATAGTATAGGGTTTTGTGTCAAGTTTTCATTCTCTTTGCAGTACTGTTGTCCTACGTAGTTTGCTCCCTTAGTCGGCTCTTAAGTCACCCACGGGATGAATAAGGGTGGTTACTATTCAATTCAATTCTTTTAATGTGGCTAAAATGTGGGAATCAAAAGTACCTATTCATTTATCATAAAGCAGTTGTAGGGATGTAGACGAATAAAAAAAGGTATCGATAATTTAATTGATATATTTGTCTATAATAATATAAATTTAGAACTAACTGGAGGTTTTTCAATCACTCTGGAATTTATTAAGCGGATATTTATCCGAATATTTCTTCAAATGGTTCTCCATTTCTTGCATTTGTTTTCTGAAAAAAGTCATCGTTATTACAGTTTTTAATAAAGCGAGCCGATATTGTATTATTTTTAGAAAATTCTAATTAACATAAAAATGTTCATAAGTCTGAACACTTACTGAATTCTAGAGGGCATCTCATAGTAAACATCTTCTAACATCTCTTTCCAGTGTGGTAATTTCTTTTTCTCTGCCACTTGCATTGTTCTAAGTACCGTGTCTCTCGATTCCTTCGCCCAAGACTTCTCTAGCTCTGCATCCCATAGACCTGAAAGATTGTAATTACCTCTTATTTATATGTATGGTGGGACAAGGATTTGTCAGTTTAGGGTGAGCTGGTAATAAAATTGGTAATGTTACCAGCACAAAAAATATTATGTCAGTTGGGCTGTTTAAATACTTGCGGTCGTGGATAACATTGAGAAGTATTTTTTCGAGTTGCAATAATATTTTCTCATAGTCTGCTTAAATTAGGGATTACCTTTGCTTTCCAAGTACATTTTGAATTTCGGTATTGGACTTTCGTCATTGGTCCATTTCTGTATTTCTTCAATAGATCTGTAAGCTGTGCTGTCATCTGAAGTTGAGTGATGTCCGACCCTAAAATATATGACAAATAAGAATTGTACATTATAAAGAAGGCACATGAAGAATGTATTTTTTTAATTTATATCACAATCTTGTTGTTACAAGTTGAATTTTGTTATTTTTGTAATTGCAATTTGTGGGTCTAATAAATAATATTTATTTCTGTAGGTAGGTCTTTCCGCCAAGAGATATTTTGTACAAGTTTCTTAGCTTTCTTATGTCATTAAAATTGAATTATGTTTAAATTAGGCTTCTTGAATTTTTTTCTTTTTTTAGTAGAGGTACATATTTTGTCTGTCTAGCCTTTGTTTTCTCAGAAATGTAACACTAATTTTGTTTTTATTACTAGTTCCTGTTTACTGTTTTTGTTTTTACTTTACTTTTTGTTGGCAACACTGCTCTACTACACTCTACACTATACTACTTATAGTGCAAAGGCCGAATATCTCAGCCGAAAATGCTTTATTTACACATATACACTATATTAATAATATAAATGTTAAAGTGTGTCTGTGTAAACAAGTAAATAAAATTGAAGTGTCTGTTTGTAATGTCAAAATAATAGGTTTTTTTCATGCTCACACGATTATTTGCACGATACCTATGCCTAAAAACCAGTTTAAATATTTTTTGACTGTCTGTTCCGAGTAATTTTCAAAACGGCTGGACCGATTTTGATAATATTTTACTACCAAGTAGCTATCTATGTAGTAGCTGGTGCCCGCGAGTTCGTTCACGTTGAATTTGAAAAGCGCTGCCTTAGTGAGTTGGATTCCCGGACCAGGCAAAATTTTATAGGGTTTTTCTGAGAGGAGAAATAGTCTAAGTTACTCCTTATATGGACAGCATGACATTACAAATAGCCGCCACAATTTTATTTATTTATATAGTATAGATAAATATTAGTCAAACGCGATGAATCAAGTCTTGGCTTAGATTGAATATATTACGAAACCTGATGTTTTAGTGGTTGTACTGACTACTGAGACAGTCGTAAGTGTGATTCTTACTTCTGTTCTGTTTAGGTGTAATTTATCCATAACACGTGCGTACTTTTGTCAGCAATCTATTTATCATAGTACTCTGAATAGTTTAGGATATGACGGCCGTGTGAGATCACACACAAGTTATAAAAAAAAGAATGTATACCCAGGGTGAGAGTTGTCATTTAAAAAAAAATAGTCTTGTAGCTATTGGACGACTTAAATATATTTAATAATTTCACAGTTTGAGAAAATATTAGCTTACCTGTAAGACATAGCCTCAATTAAAACCGGCTTGTTGTTCTTCACAGCGAACTCCCTGGACTCTTTCACAGCATTGTACACAGCCAGCAGGTCAGTACCGTCCACTCGTACGGTGCGGATGCCCAGCGCTGGGCCCCTAGACGCTATACCGTCACCGCGATACTGCTCACTCGTGGGAGTAGATATGGCATAACCATTGTTTCTGCTGTCATAGAAAGTAATGGTTAATGTCAGATTATGTTTAAACGTGCATAATTTAATAACATACAACTCGTGGCTAAGTTAAGCAAGGCATAGCCAGGTCAGCCTAAAAAAAAAGCAAAAAAAAAAAAGCACGTTAAACCTTTGGTCCCGGTTGCCATATGAACATCTCTGGCAATCGTTCTGAGGTAACAAACATAAAAAACAAAAGAATACAGTCGAATTGAGGACCTCCTCCTTTTTTTTTGAAGTCGGTTAAAAAGTCTGACAGCAGTGTTTCTACAGAACTTCGATGTCGCCTTCTTGGGTTGTGGAGGTCTGAGGGCAGTCTCGCCAAAAATCGTATCGTTCAGCCGTATCTTGGTAGACTTAAAGCCTTTTTCAAAATTGGGTTAGGGTCAACACAGTTTGGGAAAAAGGCTCGGAGAAAGATTTTTTTTACATACAACTACAGACTTGAGAATTAAACTTTTACATTTCCAGAAGCTCTATACATTTCGGATTGTTTCCATAAAGTTATTGGAGTTTACACTGAGGAATTTACATGAATTTAAGTATTAAAATCTGCCTTGTTCCGTTCGCCGATAATTATACCTGTTGTTGACGGGCCTGTTGGGGTAGTAGTTAGTGACCCTGACAGTTAAGCCGGAGGTCGTGGGTTCGATTCCCACCCAGGACAAAATATTGTGTGATGAGCACGATCATTTGTTCTGCGTCTGGGTGTAATTTATCTATAATATATATGTATGTACTTAAAAATATATAAGTATGTTTATGAGCAGTCTGGTTACCATAGTACAGGCTCTGCCTAGTTTGGGATCAGACGGCCGTTTGAGATGAGTGAGGTATATACATATATACCGATTAACAAGAACGGAAATATCTACGTATATTTAATTTAAATACATTGAAATAGTTCATATTGGATATATTTAAAGGCAGAGAGACCGCATTCATTTCTTACCATAAGAAAATGATAGGACAATCTAAAGTAGCGGCGAAGTTGAGGGCACTAAAAGCGTCCCCCTCGGATGCAGCGCCATCTCCAAAGTAACAGATCACGCACCGATCGTTGTTTTCTTGACGTTTTAGCGCATACGCTGCGCCTACTGCTTGCGGCATTTGAGTGGCTACAAATTAAAAAAATAAAAACATAAAATTGTTCCTTGTCTGTGGATAAAAAATTCAAGGTCAATCTAAAACAAAGACTTTCAATTCAGAAAGACAAAATTCAGAAACTAAATGTTTGTGTATGATATATCGCTTATCTTTTTTATAGTAGCTGACTATCACTAAGTTATTCTTGATAGAGTTGAGTTAAATATAAACAATAAAAGATATCGCGGTCAACTCTTGTGCGGTCATTAGTGCCATCTTATTTGTGTCGTCTCTTTTTAACCCACGTTAAAAAAGGAGGAGGCGCACAAATCGATTGTACTTTTCTTATGTTTGTCACTTCAGTAATTCGTCATTAGTTAATCGAATTGGCAAATTCTCATTTTACGTGGGACCTCCTACGTAAAATAAGAAAAAAAAGATCAAAAAATCCACCATCTCTAAGGGTGAAAAATTAGGAAACGAAGAATACAGTTTGTTACAAGTTACATAGAGTAGCCGCTTTGAAGTAGAAGATAGTTAAAAAAAAGTTAATTCTGAGTTAAAGGATCTCACCCAAAGGACTAGAAATCGTCACAAGATTATGTTGTTTATTGCCGTAGTGCACGGGCATCTGCCTGCCTTTGCCAAGATCTTCTACGTTTCCATAACATTGGTTCACAATGTCGGTCACAGTGACCCCGCGATAGAGAAAGACTCCAACTTCACGGTACTGGGCAAACACAAGGTCCTCTGGACTCAAGGCAGCCGCACTGCCAACGTGAATACCTTCTTCTCCATAATTTGTCATGTAGAAAGATATCCGACCTTGTCTGAAAATTGAACGCTCATATTTCAAATAGTCTGTGGCCTCGATTAAAGGTAAGTGATTTACATAGTCTATTTAAAAAACCGCTAGAAGTCTACATGTCTACTGTGCTAACACTTGAAATAGATGCGAGGTTATGTCGTGACCTTTCGTGTGTCGTTCTTCGCTTTCTTGTAAATTAAGTGCCAGCCAACGAAGAACACAACTTATGTTTTATGGTTATTTCCATTCTATGTTTAAGGCTTAGACTCGACTCTAGAGATAAAAAGAAGAAGAAAATGACGAAATATATTATTAAAATTATTATGCTAGACAACTCATTCCTAAAAATTATATAATTATTGACAACGATCCATTTAAATATTTTGCATTAGGTAAGAAACGTTAGGTACTTACAGGTAAAAAAATATACACGGCGTAAGGGACGTCGTAACGAATACTGAAATAGTGAATTCCGACCATCATTCTGAGTCGTAAATCATTGGAATTTTCGACGAATTTTCGTAAATCATCGGAATGATGGCAAATTAAACTTTTTATGCAATAATTAATCATAGGTATCGCACAAAAGTAATAACTACATGTGTATTCCGTGCAAACAGCCTACGCACACTAACACAAAATAGCGGCCGGAAAGGAGGCCCCGTGCGCTTCGGCTGTTTGATAAATTACATTGCAGTATTTATTAAATTGTTTTCCTTTCATTTGTCATCATTTTTGACCAGAAAAATGGAAAATTAAAAAAAAATTAATTTTCGTGCAGAAAATTTTAATGACTCGACTCAAAATCATGGTCTGAAGACACTATTTCAGTATTCGGTACGATGTCCTTTACTCCTTGTATTTTAATGAATGACATAATTAAATTACCAAAACACGAAATAGTATATTTAGGATAATTACCTTTGCGATTCATACAAAATCTTGTCCATCTGCGACAACTGTATCATAATTTTATACATATGAATTAGAGTATCTTTCTCGATACTCGGTTCCTCTTTACTTTCGAAAACAGCGCCATTGTTGTCCATCACTCGATAGATAGGAATGGGGTCATAGCTTGTTTCGTTGAGAAACTTCATTTCCGTCACGTATGGGGCTTTGGCGCCCGGGAATTCGGCGGGCTTGACATTATTTTGTGTGGATTCCGGTTGTGTGCGTGTAAACAACGACTGTAAAAGGTAACAGTTTTATTATTTTCACTCGCTAAATATATTTCTAAGTTTAGTAATTCTATACCTGTATAATATTATAAATATTGGCAGAATACATAAATAGACTTTTAAATTACTTAGTTCCATGTTAATTTTACTAAATAGTAACTTGAAATCTAAGCTCATAGCCAATACGGAAAATGTTGAATTCTTCTCAGAAAACCCAGTATTGATTAGAAACACATGTTTAGCATGTAGTTCTAAAAGAAATAAGGCTTTAGAGTTCAGCCAGATCTGGCAAATGAATTCCTGGAACACCGGTTTGATGTCCCTGATTACGAAAGCTCTCTAAGGTTTATCCCAAATGTTGCCATCATTTCAATTGTCACCGAGAGCAAGTAGGACTTTCGGCCTAGATTACTGTTAAGACTTAATTATTAATACTTTACGCCTATTTCAGTATTAGCAGTAATAGTAGTGAAAATAATAAAGACGACAAATATATTCAATTAATTATTGAAGTACGCTTGTATTTATGCATTTTGACGTCTTCCAATAACGCTTTGTATACTTCCATTGTTTCATAAAGATGTCAGTGAACTTGTTTATTTATTTATTTATTTACCACTCGTGTACATCGGCGGACTTAATTCCCTGGGCATTCTCTACCAGCTAACCTTTGGGCGGCGTAGAAATGTAGTAAGGTAGGTGTACTGAGGTTACAGTTGTGATATTAGTTGTAAAGTTTTAACTGACATATACAGTTACACACATACATACAGTAATATACATAATACAAGCATACGTATATACATACATATAAATGCACATAAATACATATACTTTATATATATAAGAGATTTCAACGTATATGACTATATACGTTGAAATCTCATATATTAGTCTTAGTATAGTCTTTAGCTCTTATGGTTCCAGAGATCACTCATCACGATATCTCTGGAACCATAAGAGCTAAAGACTTGAAATTTGGTAGGAATATTCTTTTCACCGAGTAAAGGTCAGCTAAGAACGGATTTTACGAAATTAAAAATAATAATTAAATAACGTAAATAGCAAAAAAACGTTTGCAGGGTCAGCTAGTACTTTATATTCGTACACTGTAAATAGGTACGTATACTATTGAATACGTAGTGAATAGGCAACCAGAAGGTAGTTATATACATTAGTTTTAAATGTGTAACGGTTTGTGGACATCCTTACAATGCAGATAATTAGTATTATAGTAAATATTTTATCGTAAGAAGGTAAAACATTGTCTATTGTTTAGTGACCTTGACTGATGTCTGATGTGGGTTTAATTCCCACTCATTACTAAAAATTGTAAGATGAGCATGATCATTTGTTCTGGATCTGAGTATAATTTATCTATCACATCACACATCAACAGCCTTTAATAGTCCACTGCTGGTTTTGGCCTACTATGTATCTATAGTATTTATAAATACGTAAGTACAGGTAAATTAGCTTGGAGAAATTTTTACGTTTGTAGTAGTGTATGGTACGGACAGCGTAAACTGGTTTATTCTGGTTTTGTGCGTGTTTCCACTTTCCACTATCAAGTGACGATTTTTTGCTTTAGATTGAAATATCTCGGAAACGGTGCGTCCTAGGCCAAAAATACCAAAAAATTTGACCTCCCGTATATCCCCCGGAGTTTTAAAAACCTAGATGAAAGGAAAAAAAATAATTAAATATCGGTCTCTCCTCTTTGAAGTTTCACTTCTATCGTGTGTGAATCGCAACCACACCTTTTTTTTATAAAGTCAAAACCTTTTTCTTTAAAATAAAAACTTGTTTTTATTGAAAACAAAAATCAGAGTGTTGCTAGGGATAAGTATAAAATTAAATAGTAATGTTAGGATATCGAAACATTTTTGTATAGGCCAGAACGATATAGTGGAAACGCGCTCTAAGATCTGAGTAATATACACACCACTACATATGCAAAAAATTCTCGAGACTAATTTCACTGTATGTTAATTAATCAGCAGTCTGGTTACCACAGTACAGACTGTGCATAGTTTATGATCATGATCATTATGATGAAATAAGGCGGCCGTCTGTGACATGTGTAGTTACTATTATATTTTATAAGAATATTTTGACTTAACCTATTTCTGCGGCTAAAAATTTTTATACTCGTACACTCAGTATCTATATAGAATAGTTATAAGAGTAACCTTGATTAGATTCTCTAAGAAACTACCAGTACCTATGCAGCTTTAATAATTATAAAACAAATATGCAGAATATACGAGTACAATCAGCCTTCAGATAAAGTCACACGATTAGCAATTCAACTTGTATTGCAAGTCTAACTTTGTTTCATTTAAATGACACTTCAGTAAGAATATAAAAGGTTTTAAATGCAATATAATGAACTTAAATTATAATTTCTTTCCAGTCAACCAGTTCTCCGCATTTCGAAGCGCACTTCTAACAAGTATAGCCCACAATATGAAGTGGTTTAAGACTTATTTTACACGTAGTTTGGCACATCATGTGGTTTAGCCACAACTCCGACACGCCGACCTTTTTTTTGTTTTACGCGTGGACCGTTTTACGTTTTACACCTCGGGCCGTCACCCCACCGACCGGAATCAGACCGACTAAAACCACACGGTGTGCTACTCCTGTAATAGGAGGGATCCGGGAACTGCTGTTATTAAGACATCCAGACCCCTCCTAGCTCGCAACGGCGCGGGCACCACCTTCGGGTAAATTCTCTATTTAGGCGACGTCTGGTACACACTGACGTCGCTGGCCGTTATAGCGGATGAAGGGGAAAACCCGTCCCGTTCACCCGCGGCCACACTCAAGGCGGCATGAGGCGCGGTTCGTCGGCGGCGAATTGGGTTCGAGTGGAGATCATCTTCCCGAGCCCTCTCTCTCCGCCGCCTTCTTCTGCGAGATGACGCCTTCACAGAAGGATGCGACCGCGGTAAAACATCTGTCACTACCGGCCATGGATCGACACGCCGATCTACCGTAACCTCGGTGGGATGACGACCCAATAGGGTTTCACACCTATTAAAAAAGCTTAAGGCACTTACCAGACTCGTGTTTAACATAATATAACACTATCATACAATAGCTATCGTGGAATCTATTCAAAAATTACCATCAAATGAATGAAGAGCTACTAATCTGATGTAAAGTTCTGACCTCCTAACCTGTATGTAACCATAGAACATACTGTGGCGACACAGCTGCACTGATTATTAGAACTGGCAAGACGGATATAGATGCCACTTCTTATGTCAAATAAATTACCGCCACTGTAACTTACATCTAAGACTTTGTTCCTTACTTCATTATTATTATTTACGAGGGTTTATAAGTCGAGTTATTAATGTGTCGTCATAATAAAATTTAAGCAAGAACACGCATTTCATCATAGCTTCATCTATCTTCCTTCATATCTGGATAACCTCCAAAATACAATCTTTTTTAGTAACAGTTTTCTTAAGTGCGTATTTTATGCCTAAATATAGAACATACGACTTTCAGAGTTCAATTCAAGTTAAATATTTGTAATGTATGTATAATTAATTATTTATTTAGTTGTGAAAACAGGTTACTGTACTGAAGTACAGTACTTAAACTTTCTTCTGCTTACTAGGATAATTACGGGTCTTAGAGAGAATAGGGTTGCTAACAAATTACACAATTGCTGTTACGTGTTCAAGCGTTTCGTTGGACCCTTTACATAAAAACTGCCGAGATAAAAATCTACTTATGGTAGCATTATAAACAATTAAAGTTATTACAGCCCCATGAACGCATAAAAAACGGACAGAGTCTCGCTAACAAGAAACTGTGTCACTCATAGTCGGCCAGCTCGCTGTACGTACAGGCGGGTACGCACACTTACACATTAGTCGGCCATTACGCTTGCAAACACGAGACGCATTACGCGGCGAAAACATATAAATATACAACATGTTTTGCGTAGTGAAATGCTGTAAAACCGTAATGACCGAAATAAAAATAAACCAGGAATCACGTTTCATAGGTAAACGAATAGTTCAATCCCTTATTTATTCCAGATTTTATACATTAAAATTAATCAGCATTCGCTAGAACAAAAGAATTTGTTATAAGCCTAGTGTTGCCAATTTTAGCGTGTGCAAATTACCCGAAACAAAGCAAATTTTGGGTTTATTATTAAAATCAATTTATTAAGGTTCTTTATTTAATAGTTACTACTAGTTATACTATATGCTGGTTTAAGAATCTTTATTTCTCAAAAAATATCATATTCATATCAAATATCATATTCATATCAAATATCATATCATATTCTTTTACTAAATTTTCTAAGGAAAATGGAGTATGGAGAAATCATTGGATTCAAATAATTGGAAATTGTAATGGTGAATATAAAGACAACACAAATATTTTCTCACAAAAATTCTAGAAAAGTTGGCATTAAAAGCATTTCTTAAACTTAGAATCTGAAAATACTTTCGTCGGAACAGAACACAAAATAAGTCTTATTAGATATGTAGCAGAAAAATAATTAACGATTCGGTTTCACCACATCTCGGAATTAGAGGAATTTCAAAAACGAGAGGTTCTTGGAATTTCGAAAGCAAAAGACATTATTATAAAAAATGACTCAGCATTAAGGACATTAAACAGTAAAATTTCGAACAAATAAAATATTCTTATTTATTTTTACTCTATTTTTAGGGCATAAATTTGGGTAACTTGGCAGCCCCAACATTCATTCACACATACGCAGCTGCTGTCATTACGGTGCCTCAATTTTGTGTTAGCAAGAGTTCCGTCCAACTTTCTTTATACCTCCATGTACAACCCTTATAACTAGTTACTGTTACCACCATGACGACATAAAAGCGAATTTCTGATAATAACATAACCGAGTTTATCACATTCATTTGAAGGAGTAATTAAATAATTTAGAGATCGTTATTCATTATTACGAAGTACCTACTGATAAAATGAACTGATAATATTATTTCATAATCGGGCGCACTTCACCTCTAAAATAATTAATAATCTATACTCGTATAATAATTTCACCGATAGCTATAATATGTATTTTGCCTATCACATCACTATTTTAAAAATTACGATACAAAACCAATCTTATTCCATGCACTTCGTCAATTATTAAAAAACAAAACTTTATGTTGAGGTCACAATTAGTTCATTCACCATAAACTGATTAACACATAAAACAATTCAAGTCTAAAGAATGTTACAATACTTTATTTACTTTACGTAACTATAGGTAGGTAACTTTATTGTATGGTTTGAAAAACTAACCCGTGCAGTGGTTCGCAGCGCGTTGTACCGCAAAACACATGCTCCGGTTCTGAGCGCCATATTGAAACTAACATGATGTATTACACAAACAAATTGAATTGCGGAATTAAGTGATAAGATGGTGGCCTTTCGCATGTAATAATGACGTATCGTGTACATTTTAAATGTGCACTGATTACGTAGACAGTTTTGTTTTTGATTTATAAAGTGGAAAAGATGAATATTGATATATTGAATAAGTGATTAACTGCTTAGATTGTAGAATATTTATAACCCGCCTTGTAAGTTTATATTCTATGCAAGAGACTGTTTATATACCTATGCCTACCTATTGTTTTCATTTCAGACCACATCTTTTAAACCCCTGGTTCCCTTCAACAGCTACCGTAAGGTTTATAATCACCTATTGATTGAAATCATTTTTCGTTTACTTTACTTACATTTTATAATACTAATTAAATACAAATAAAAATACAAAAATAATTAAATAGAAAAGCTAGTACTGAATAATTAAATCTACTGAGTCTAACTCGTCGTCGAATATAAAACTCAACCGTGCATGAAGGACAGTTATTCATTATTTTTTTGGAATTCATGAGTTTAGTGTTACAAAAATGTTACATCGACAATTTGTTTTTGACGAACAAAATAAATGAACAAATTTGTTTATTTTGGTGCCATTTTCAAGGGATCAACCCTTGAAATAATCTGTAGTCCTTTCAATAACTGTCCAAGTCTCATCGCATTACAAACTTTAAGGTCCATAAAATAATACCTTACATAAACGTACATACTAAACCATGATCGTAACGTTAGTGGTAAAACAATAAAAAAAAAAATACCGAGGTAACTTCACGTATACTAAATCAATTGCACCATCAGTTAAAATCGTACATTGTATACTGATCCAAATGACATGGTCTTATAATATCATTTTATTTCAACTAATTTATGGCCACTGACACAGCCACACATTAAGAGATATGTCTATGGACACAGCTGATGACAGCGAAATTAGACTGATTTTTAATTTGTTAAACCTTTATTTAATATTTTGGAATCCTTATCGCGCGCTACGTGCTCTGAGCGGTTGAGGGCTAGACCGAAAAATATGCAACAACACTTTTTGCTATAGTACGCACACACTTGCATAGATCTTTTAACCTAAGCAACGGTTTACACTAATAGAGAGAGTGGTTCAAGAGGTAGGTTTATATGTATAATACACACATATAAACAAATATACTTTAGAAAATCCGAGAATTTCAAAGATTTGTGATAAAAAACATGTTTTTGTGCGCTTACATTGCAAACGCTGACTAAACCTTACGAGATAGACCAAAATAATGTACTACGGTATTTTATATGTTAAAAAGATCCACAAAAAAGTCCGCGATACTATATGTCTATCTCCTAACGATAAATCACAGTAACCATTTTTATCTTTTAAATTTTCCAAAAAAATTATGGCGTGAGCAGTAACTCGACATAGGTCGGGGTCGCCTACCTAGAACTGGTTGTTATCGGGATGCTTGACCCGACTTACAAGGTCATTGCCTTCATTTTACCCAAAAATTCTCACATCTCATGTTTGTTATTTAAAATACTTTGTTTACAAAAACGGTATCACAGGTAATCTGATCCCATACTAGGCAAAGCCTGTACTATAGCTGTAAGGTTGCTGATAAACACAGAATAAATTATCGTAATTATCACAATCTTTTCTCCTGGGTGGGAATCGAAGCCACGACCTGGCTCACTAGTCAGGACCATTAACCACTAAAACAGGCCACAATGAATGTATTAAGATCGCTCTTGATCAAATATAGTTATCGTATCATGTGTTTTCCATTTTCTATATAAAAAAGGCTTTGACTGGCACGTTGGCCCAATGGTTAGGAACCTTGACTAAGCCAGAGATCGCGTGTTCGATTCCCATCCAGGAATAATATTTGTAGAACTAGAACCCTGTTTGAAAAAATAACTTAAGAATGAGTAAACTTCAAGTATTTACAAACGCTTGGATGCCATTTACACGCTTGCGTACGGTCTTACATAGCTGACGTGGACATATTATTATTCAAAATATAAACGGCGGCACTTAACTAAAAAAAAACTCTAACCCTGCTCAATTCAACTGCTCCATCAGTAAAGCATTTATAATAATAATAACCTCACACGTCTGTCTGATCCTAAACTAGGCAGAGCCTGTGCTATGGTAACCAAACTGCTGATAAACATACTTATATATTTCTAAATACATATATATTATAGATAAATTACACCCAGACACAGAACAAACGATCGTGCTCATCAATCATCATCATCGAATCGAACCCACGACCTCCGGTGTAGCAGTCAGGGTCACCACTAGACCAACAGGCCCGTATTGGGACTTAATGTTGGCTTCCGACTGCTCAACTACAATACTTGTAATATAAAATTGAGCAGTAGGGAATAAGCACGCGTCAACGTGTTAATACGTCGCAATCGCTTGCCGCGAGCTTCCTTTATTCAAAACCCGACATTATAGTCCATCAACGTCGTGCGCGACCGTCCTGCAGGGTGACAGACGGTGGCGGGGACGAGGTACTCAAGATGTCAGCGGGTAGCGGGTGGTGTAGCGGGGAAGGGAATCGTGTGTAGCCGTGTGCTAGAATGACGCGCTACCTCGCCCCCGCCACTGTCTGTCACCCCGCGGGTCGATCGCGCACGAGATTGCCGGGGTATAAGTACGGATCGAATACGAACATACGCGAGCCGAGCCAAACACCCCGTTTACACGCTTGTTTGTGGACACTTGTCGAGGTAAACGGCCTATTAAAAAATCTCGTTTAACTTATAAACCTATCTGTCAGTAAAAAGTACACATTTATATTTTCATTTATATTTATGATGATATATATAACACACACATGATAGCCTGGTAACTAGCTTGATATGGGCTGAAGATAATAATATCCTCGGTCCGAATCTCAGTTGAAAGAAGCAAAACATTCTAGCGATAAGATAAAAAATGTTATATAAGTAAACACCTGCCATCATTTTGTACACTTTTCGTGTTAAGACGATGATATTGTACACGAAGAAAATAATTACGGTTAAATGACGAAGAATAAAATAATAATAATAATATTGTACCACATTCACACAACGCCATCTAGTCCCAAATTAAGCAGAGCTTGTACTATGGGTACTAGACAACTGATATAAATACAAATATACTTTTTTTTTTGTAAATACATACATATCATGCATAGAAACACCCAGACCAAATCAAACATTAAATGTTCATGCACATAAATGTTTGACTTGAGCGGGAATCGAACCCGCGACCTTTGGAATAGCAGTCCGTTACACAAACCACTACGCCATCCGGTCGTCATATATCATATCATCATCAATAAGTAATAATATTACAAATTTCATTCCTTTTTTTTTTTTTTTTTTTACGCGGGGAATGCTTTTCGCACCATACCCTCCGTTGGGGAAACGTAGGGCGTGTGTGAGACTCCAGGAGAACCGGTCTACCCACTAAACCCCGCGGCGGCCTACCTCGGCAGTCGGGAGGAGCTCCAGGAACGCATTGGCGACTTCTGGAGTCCTCCCTGCCGTACCTCATGTCTGAGGCACATCCCGGAGTGATCGAAGTCACCCTGGGGCAGGATGCTACCGCGCCTCTCACTGTTCTACAGAGTAAAAGGCGCAACAGCATCCCGCCTTAGACGACAGGCCCCGGCCGCACCGGAGTGTCATCTGTCTCGGGTCGTTTACAGCGGTCACATCGCCCCAAGATGTGGCCGCAGCGACCCTTAGGCGGCGATTGGGGAGTTAGCTCCTTCGAGCGCCTCAAATTTCATACCTATTACACACAGCAGTTTGATCCCAAACTAGGCAGAACCTGTACTATGGTAACCAGACTGCTGATAAACATATACGCTTGAATTGTTGTCACCTATGTATTTACATTATGGAATCAATAAAGTATTCAGTATTGAGTAAAATTTATAAAAATCTGTTGAGAATATCTCTATAAAGCGACATGTTTTTTTTTTAGGTCACGAGACCAATTTTATCCGTTTCGGTTTGACGTCGATTTAATAGGCACTCTGTATACCGCTCCTCAACAAAGAGACTAAATCGACTAAATGTTACTTCTTTATTGTACTAAGTATAGATAGGCAAATATTACATAAAGTACTTACCTAATTTAATAATCCGGTAGTAAAAACAAATACTCAGTTTTTGTGGCCTATGTCGGGGATTCCCGGTGAAATGAACAGCAGTGTTCCAACTGAACTCTGCATTTCATTCTAGTGTTGCCATCATAACGACTTTGTATCTAGATTTAGGGAATTTAAGTAAGTAAGACTTGCTCAATGAACAAGACGATAAAGGGGCCTGCGATGCCTCTTTATATCTGGCGCCCCTGGGCGGTAACCCAACCGCGTCCTACCCTAACGCCGCTATTGAATTTATGGGAAGTCTTACATTACCTTTGTCCAAGGCGGACATAAATAGTTAAACAAGTCTTTCAGGAATTTCGAATATATTCACGAAAAAAATGGCGGTATGAAATTCGCCCGCGATTACTCGAAGATAGCTGAATTGATTTTTTTTACAAAGATTAAAGTTTGGTGTCCGTGTGGTGACGGATTAAGAATACAGAGTGTCATCACCCCTATTCACCCCGTGGGTGTCGTAAGAGCCGACTAAGGGAGCAAACTACGCAGAACAATAGCACTGCAAAGAGAAGGAAAACTTGGAACAAAGCCTATACCAACCAGTTTGGCCCGCGTGATATAGTAGGCCAAAACCTCCTTTCTAAGGAGAGGCCTATGTCCAGCAGTGGACTGCTAAAGGCTGTTGATGATGATGATGATGATGATGATGATTTCAAGTTAGTCTCATTTTTTCATAGATGAGTCCTCGAACTCTCAGAATATTCGATATTTGTATTTTTTATACAATTCCAAAATTCTACATTGTAAAAATAAATAACATAAATTCAAGTTATAACGATTTAATACAAACAATATATATCTTATCAAAAATACAACAAACAAAGAAAAAATATTTCTGACAAAAATAACATTTAAAACTAACGATTTAAAGAAATACATCCCTTTTGGGCCCATTGTTAGACAGTATCCTAATATTAATAAGATAGCCACAGAAATATACCCCAAACAGAGAAACGATCAGTCCTAACAAAAAAATGATTACATCCTTAATAAGATATATATTGTAGGGGCCGTAGGCGTTCGGGACCCCGTAGCGAAGACTCAGGTCCATCATGGCCGGGAACACTATGGACAACATGCTCGTGCACAGGTTTCCCACAAACGCGACAAATGGCCCTTGGAATGGAAAGTAATATGCAATGGTAACTGAAAACAGAGATAAATCTTTAAGGTCAGAAGAATCGTTCAAACATTCGAGCATAGATAAAACGGTTAATTGAGTCCTCGCCAGGGTTCAGGGCGGGACAACGGTGATCGGGAGAGGTGCGGGCAGCTGGCGCTTGAAGGAAAAAATTATGCACCTGCCGCCCGTGTAGCGGTTCAATTAGGCGGTTCATCTATAAATAATTTCAAAAAGGAAAACTTGTAACAAACCTTATACCAACCCGTCTGGCCAGCGTGATATAGTAGGCCAAAACGTTCTTTCTAAGGAGAGGCCTATATCCAGCAGTGGACCAGTAAAGGCTGTTGATGATAAATGAATTATTTCTAATATAAATAGTTACAACTGTGGTCAGAGATAGTACATTCTAGAGAGTCATGCTTCAACACAAACAGGCCAACCTGACCGGGTTCACACCGGTATTAAGTGTTAATGAGAGAGTGAGAGATTATCGCAGCAACCCTCTCACCCTAATTCTGGGTTTCATCACTATGGATGCTCTTATGACCCCTATACCATAACAAAAACATAAGAAGCTATTTATATTGTACTTCAATTTTTAAGTTAGTATTTTTTAAGAAGAAATAACAGATAATTATCATCGCGTGCGTGGTTAGCATCATCAACATCATAAGCAATGTGGGGTAACTAAATCAGAATCAAACTGACAAAAACTAAAAATTATTCTTGTGTCTATGGCCGGGGGCTTGTAGACCATAGACAACGCTATGAAGTGTGTAATAAATGTAATAAAGAATAAAATAAAAATCCAAAATGGTACCAACACGCCAATAGAACAAATAGAGGTCTACAGATGATCCTGATGACCTCCAGTGTCGCATCCGTTGGCACAAAATCATCACTAGCATACCTGCACATTTCTTCAATCACCCCTGTAATTGGGTAGCAGTGCAGGGGGTACGCAGATGTCACCGATACAATGTAAAATGACATTATGATCATGGATGTCCTATTAAAAATTAAGGGATTTTAGTTTTTTTTTCAATATTGGTAGAAAAATAAAACTATTACTACGTATATTGTAAAACACACATATACAAAAACTCCCGAACTATGGGTAAGGATCCCCTTGACGTTGCTTGGGAGAGTGGGTCGACGGGAGTGGTACCACGACCTCACAGAGAACTGGTGTTAAGCAGGTTTTTCATTACTTGCCCTCACCCCCTCTGGGGTGAAGCACACAAATGAGCAACACACTTGTACCTATATCTTACGTTGCAGGTGCCCATGGGCGAAAGTAGCCACTTACCATCAGGTAACCTGTCTGCTCATTTTACCCCTATAAGAAAAAAATAAAGATTCAATGACGTGGTTATTTGGCACTTCTATCCTCTTTCTATTTCTTCTTATTTTCTCCTATTTCTACAATCCAGAGGAATTTATCCATTTCATAATTCTTCATATCAGTATGACATTTATGTCAAAAATTATCATTTTTATTTATATCTACTTTAATGACTTACAAATCATCATAGGGCAAAGCCCTTAAAATATTTTCTTCCATTGAACCGAAAGCCCAATAGCCGAGTGCGCCGAATACTAATGAAAGCAGGACTGGTATACCCAGGCTTATATTGATCACTCCAAGGGTGCTCGTCATAATCTTTGGGTCTTTTAAAGCTTTGTCAAGCGTTAAAATCTAAAAGAATCGAAAATCGAAACCATAAATCAGACATAATTAATTATGTCTGATGTATGGTTTTACAGTCTATGGCTAGTTGAATAAGCATTCAAATTTAAGAAATAATTATTTTAATAAGTTTAGTGTAAAAGGATAAATAATTGTTTAAATGTCGTTTTAATTTAATCTGTTACCTACCTTTCCTTAGATCTTATATTTTTAGAGAAAACGGCAGGTCCCACGAAACTTCCCTGAGCAATCTCCAAGTCGTTATTTTTAAACACCAACTAAAGATATTTGTTTATAGCCTACATATGTTCTTACCTATCTTCTAAATGGTCTGTGAGAAGTTAAAATTGAATGTATGTTATGGCTCATTATTTAATTGTTTTAAAGTATAGAGATAAACACGGTTTCAAAGGCCTTTTGTAAATCGACAAATATTCCAATATGCCTGTTACCTGGCTTAATGTTCTTCGAAATTTGGCTGAATATATTCTACGTTTACAGATGAAAATTAAGGTATGTAGTAATTTTTTTTTCTGACCTACATTCCTGACCTGTATACATAATATCTATTTCTTTTCAAACGATTAAGTAACTCGTTAACATTGCTTTACCCCTTATCTACTTTTCTTGGTCAATATTTCCAACTTTCTTATCTTTTACTCCCAAAATAATGTACGCCAATAGGCTTGCCCCCCTATTACTTGCATGGGACCAAATTAAAGAGCTTAAAATGTAGCAAGATAAAAGCTTATAATAAGTCGCAAATATGTTTCTTTACTTATACTCGTATATTATGTTATGTGTATATCTCAAATTAATAAAGCCTTACCACGGCTAGTGCGCTGAGGTTAAACAAACACATGCCCCAAGTAAACAACCATCCTCCGACACCTTCCTCCCAATAAATTATTTGCCTCTGAGGTTCTTTAAATATGTGGTAGAATATCATTAACAGCCCACTCATATTGAGTCCGAAACCTGGAATTATGGAAGCAAAATAAGCTTGGCTACCTACACAAAAACTTACCGGCAACATTTAATTAAAGTTACGCACTCCCCATGCCATTAATATAAGCAACATGCTTTTTCTTCCATTGGCCACCCTTTTCACCTACGAGTTACGTTCTTAAGCAACTGTCACGAAGAATATCTATACAATTATAATTGCTTGACTAAACTGACTAAAACTGATTCATCAACGCATAGCCTAAACCCTTGGGGCCACAAACTTGAAATTTTGACAGCTTATGCTATTTTGCTGTAAGCACCCACTAAGAAATGGTTTTTGGAAATTTCAGCTCCAAGGAGTGTTTGTTTCGAAGTTCGTAATTTTCAAAGTAAGGAACACGAAACAAGAAATAATCATTTCAGACAATAGCTAGTAAACAAATAACCTAACAGAAGACCAGATACGCTGTCACCATACATCACATACAACTACCTACCGATGCTAATTACCCATGCCTTCAAAATTCCGAAAAAACTAACCTAACTGCTTCTGAATGCACTAATGTTAATGCATAACACTCTTCATAGGTTGGATTTAAATATTTGTTACTGTTATGATTAGGCAACGATTTCATTATTATCTATATAATATATTATACTATATTCAAAAATACTAAATTATTTTCTTCAATATACGGTGAGGTCATGATACCCTTTGGGCTGGGTCTATCTTAAACAACTTCAAGTAGGTACTTGGGTAATCAAATACGGGCTTATCTTCTTCTTCTTAGGTACTTGGGTCAAATACGGGCTTATCTTACAGGCGAGTCTTGACTACACAAAAATGCCACCCCTTCACCCGAATTAAAATTTGGAACCCACCAAATTTCATTTTTAATCTATCATAGTGTACATATCGTGAATTCGTTACCAATTATGCCTAAATAGCTCACTCGTTTCAAGTTTTTCATTAAAAACTCCAACACCAAGTAAACTGGTAGAAGTGCCAAAAGTGCCGAGTTATTGCTGCTCCAGTCTGCAATCTGGGCACCAAAAGTTGCATATAAATTTCAGTATAAACCAATTGACAAAGACAGGCATGAAAAAAAATTACAATTACAGATTTTAACTTCCACGTTAGCATTGGTTTGAAAGTCCTGGCATCCTGTCAAAACTCAAAGCTCCATACAGTGGTATGAGCAGGGCCTCGCTCCCTTGCAGAACAGATAATCAGTTTTAAAAAAAAACATTACAATATTTTAAATAACTGAGTACTATAGTGACCCTCAGGTGTTTCAACCGTGGACAGGGTCAGATGATCCATCACCACCTACTTATATGTTACCGAACTGTGCAAATCGTTTACATGATCATCGTCTTACCACCGGCACGTCATATTGCATAGGGTTTTGCATGGTTTGTTTTATGTGAGTATTGTACTTTTTAGACAGGACAGAGAAAGAAAGTAAATTTGACTAAGGAAAACGGACACTGCGAGCGTTATCACACTATAATAATATAAAATTAACTCAATTCTTTCAATACAAAATGTTAGCACGAGAGGGTTTTTTTTGTATAATAAAACTCACTGTAGGTTTAGTACTCCGATCGTGTATCGTTCGAGAGGGAAACACTACTGCCCTTTACCACGAAATCACCGCTCTTTTCTAGTAAAACTCCTTACATTGGATATACAACTACCCTCTTTTTTATATGGCAAAATATATTAAACTTTCATTAAACAATGGCGTAACACGGATGTAGCAATTCTCGTATCGGAAAACGGTATTCAGTAGCCCAAAGCTGGAGTCGTCCTGTGATCCAAAGGCTACAAGAATTGAGTTTACATTTTGGCGAGCCAGGTGTATCAAATAACTTAAAGCTTTGAAAATTAATAAAACACTAACATCTCTTAAGCTGTCCGACGTAAGTATTACACAAACTGTACAAATTCCCACTTGGCTCATTATCATGAAGATGCCAATTATGGTACTGCAAATAAATACATAAGAATTAATTAATTAGGTATTGCCTGGCGGTCGAATTTAGACCGGTTTGAATGTTTTATTTCATTGTATGAACTTAAACTGTCGTTATGGAGACTTTATATTGCTTCAATAATAATTTAGCTTTCAAAGTTATAATATTATTGCTTAGGTATTTAGTATAAGTAATACCTACTATTAGGTAATATTATTTCCGTGTGGTGACGGATTAAGAATACAGAGTGTGACACCACCCCTATTACTCAAGTAGATGTCGTAAGAGCCGACTAAGGGAGCAAACTCTGCAGGATAACAGCACCGCAAAGAGAAGGAAAACTTGAAACGAACCCTATACCAACCTGTTATAGTGGGCCAAAACCTTGTTTCTAAGGAGAAGCCTATGTCCAACAGTGGACTAGTAAAGGATGCTGATGATGGCTTAGGAAAGAAATAGATACTTTTAATAGTAGGTATCATCAAAATCTTCACCATAAACCATCAAATATGGCAGGTCTTAGGTCCACAACGATAGGAATCTATAAATACGTTGACCAAAAGTGCATAGTATTGAGAACGTGTTTGCGATGCGACACTTTTGTGATGCGAAAGAGTTTTTTTTTTATAAGTTTTTGGTTTCTGGAACATTAAAGAAGTATTTTCACAAATAACTCACGGGCCATGGTTGCCAATGCATTGGAATATTGGAGGGCCATGCAACACAGCTGCTCGGAATCCATACCGATACGATATGTACGGTATTTTCAGTTGCCTGCTTATTTCGTTAAGGTTGTCCAACTGAAAAATAGAGAGAGAGAGAGAGAGACAGATATTAGTTTAAACAAGACGGTTATTACCTACAGTTAAAAGAAAATACTGTATATGTTTATTCATATTTACAAAAAACAGGCTTAGCCTAGTTTGGAATCGGTCGGTCGTGTGTGAGATGTTTGTGTGAATTATTGTTATTATTCTGTAGGAACGTGCAAACGCCAAAGTTCTGCTGCTTATGACAGAGAGCTAATAAATAAATTAAACAATTAATTTACCAAAAGGCGGTACATGTGAATAAGCAGTATTCCGGAAAGTATTGTGAATGTCGATCCTATGATTAGTCCACTGGCACTCATTGCAACTGGCATGCCCAAAAGTCCTGGCCCACATACTGCCCGCACCATATTGAAATGTGCCATCCACGGACTGAAAACATGGCGTAATTTAATTATTTATAATAAAAAAGAACCAAATTGAACAATACAGGGTTAGTATAAGAAAAGTAAGGACAGAAGCAAATAAATAGGTTTACCCTGACCATTGGGCTCCACAGGAGAAAGTGCAAGATTTAATATTTTATTTAAGTTTAGTTTAGTTTTATATACTTTGCGAGGATACTACACACCATATTAGACTACTCTGCGTGGAGGCAAAGACGGTGTGAACGCGCGACGGCGCTTGACGTGAAAGGTCTCGCGCTAGAGACCATGGTTCTTTAAATGGTCAAGAGTAAGAATACTAGGGATTCCACCCCTCTTTTTTTGTAAACAAGTGATGTCCGTTCAAGAGGCGCCAGAAAATAAATTGGAGATGGCCAGTACTCTCTGGAGAGTCCAGAATGATCTCTGACCTCTATGATCGCTGGATTTACCCAGTGTGTGTTCGTTACCCTAGCAGAAGCAGGCCTGAAATGGTGGCGCGAAATGTACCGCTCTAAACCGGAAGTAGGACCAGGTCCTCTGCATTCAATAGTGCGGCTGCCTATAGTGGCCAAAGTCTGTCAGAGCTCATGAGGAGTTCCTTCGTAGGATATACTAAAGTCCCTTGCAATAGACTCAGAAGTAAAGGAACACCGCGAGATTAGTTCGTCCGATTCCTATGTACCAGTTCATCGCGAACCCTAGTGAGGTGACCCGTGGGGGTTTCCACACGATAAACAAAATAGGGGATATGCCTGCTGGAACACATAACACGTACTTAATTTTGCATCAATCAAATATATCAAATAATATTGAAGCAAACACCAACTTTCCAAGGGCCATTAATAAATTTCACTAATAATAAAGTCAAATCTTCTATCATTATTTTTATTTTCGTGTTTAATGAAAATATTGAAAAAATGCAATTATAATTATATTATATACATTTTATGAACATGAAGACATACCTTATTCGTGATGAGGGTTGTCTGTACTTTCTGGGATCATAATCACTAGCCATGGGTATCAGCGGAAGGCGGACCTTTCCAATGTCTAAAATAGATTCAGTATCTTCGAGTTTAATTCTTATTCGGCTTACTTTTTCAAACGCTGCCCTGCAATTATTAAAAAAAGTCTAAACTATTATTGTACTGTTTTATGGTTGGTATAGGGTTTGCTTCAAGTTTTCCTTCTCTTTACAATGCTGTTGTCCTGCGTAGTTTGCTCCCTTAGTCGGTTCTTACGACACCCACGGGATGAATAGGGATGGTGACACTCCGTATTCTTAATCCGTCACCACACGGATTTAAAATATATAATTAATAATTATATACATTTTCGGTTCGCAATATGCGTGTTGTATTTAAATTTAGTTTTGTGGAACTAGCACAATTTTGGCAGTGTCATTTTTTCCGGAGGACAGTTGTTTTTAAAAATAACGACCAAATGTTTTAAAACTTTCCTTTCTTTGAACTTGATTGACATACAATCGGAGTATTGCCAAATTATGTTTTTTTTTTATTTTCCATACAATCATAAACAATGAGTTTGACTCATATGTGGGTACCTATTCCAATATATCTGTTTCTTTGTACCATCATCGTTATTTGTGTCAGAGTAATTGTCAATTACTCAAAATTGAAATTATTTACTAATTTGAGATGCATAATAATTACTGCCCAGTTTAAAAAGAAGTTAATATATCTAAGGTAGGCAATTTAATTAATGCCTCTAAAATATTTCACGCGCGTAATATGGCCAGCCAACTTCATTTGCTAATCCGGTGGGTTATGTCGTTGTTCTTGGTTCTCTGCCGGATCACCTCATTCCTGATGCTATCCAATGGAGAAACGCCATGCATAGCCATATAAGTGCCGCGGGCAAAAGCTAGTGGCGAAATAAAAGCATCTTAGAATCCAACACCACCTTCTTACATGACTTATAACATTTTCACCGAATTTGTAAGTGTACTTGATAGGATTTCTACGCCGACTAAAATTTATGCACTGATATTAATCAATGTTAACAGTAATATATTATTGTGTTTATAATACGAAAACAATGCGTCTAGATCTCGTTGTACCAATTCACAGTCATGTCTAGATTTAATTTTCATATATTATATCTTTATATCCTCTGCATATAGATGCATTGAATTAATAAAACACTTGACCATGTCATATAAATAAACACAATAGGGAAGTGGCCCAAGGTGATACCCCTGCGGCACTCCAGATATTAATTGAAAATTCATATTGATTAAATTATTATTCTTTAATACTCCTACAGGAACATAATTATCCTGTGTCACGGGGGAGTTTACAATTCACAAACATATATGAAACGGGCACAAAGAATAAATATTATACAATTTACATTAAATAATAAAATAAAATCATTGAAAGTATTTTCTATTTCAAAACTGTTCCACTTATGTCACTATATGTCAAAAACATGTGGCACTGTAGGGATGTAGAAATTCGAGATAATTTTGTCGAGACGGTCTTGATTTTAGAGAAGTTTAAAAATTGGATGGTAAATTCTTCTTTCTACATAAATGTGTATAATTTTATTATTCTCTATGCATGTGAGTTGAGTGACTATATTGGTGATGAATTTACTATTTTATTATCTTTTTTTCTCTAACTCTAAGAAGTTATAGAAGTTAAGATAATAATTTACAAACTAGTCACTCCAATTAGACTTCTGACGTTGAAGTCAGCCTTTATAAGAAGAATTGAGTACATACATTATAAATTATTTATCTTGCTTCATTAAATATCTTAAGAAGAATGCAAGCTCTTCAGAAATTGCTATATGAGATAAGCCATTAATGCTGAGAGTAATAAAAAAAATAGAAAATGATGGACAATTTTTTAGTTTTGTGTTTTAGAAATAGTGACGCGGGAAGCTAATGATTCAGCCTTATCCGTCAATGTCCTGGATGAATTATGCAAGAAAATATTTAAAATAGAAAACGGCATGAACTTGAAATGAAAATCTAAAATTAAAATCTTATATTAAACTTTACGAGTACTTAATAAAGTAGAATCGAAATGTATTTGTGGCGCATCCCTAAGTCAAACCTTTGTGCTTTCTCTTGGCGTGTCAAATAATTTCATGCTTTATTTAACAATAATAACAATTAACCATTCAATTTTTTCTAATAAAGAAATTATTAAATTATTTGAAAATGTCTTCTATTACGCGAACAGACGTCACCGCTGTTATTTTCTATAACAAGCTAATTTTAGCAGGTATTTTAGGTTACAAAATTGAAGATTTTCAAAACTAATAAAAAGATACTTATATTTTCTTTGCCTTTCCAGGTATTGGTAGTACACTAAATGTATTTGATAAACAATCCACGAAGTTGCAACAAAGATTGCAAGTTTTACATGGTCAGAAAATATACGGTATTGTGCCTTCGAAATTTAAAGCAGAAATTATTGTGTTTGGAGGGAAACAGTTTACTGTGTTATCTGTAGATGAAAATGAGGTGTTAATAAAAAAGTTTGAAGCTGTTGTCTGTGATGATTGGTTGCATTCAGCTCTGTGGGTATATGGTGATGTAATTGCTGTACTGACAGCACACAATGTTGTACAAGTAAGTTTGGTTTACACCACAAAGCCATTAACCAAAAGTTGAAGTTTGGTTTACTCTTCCCTCTGATATTTAAAAGTAGAGGTTTTAAACTTGTTAAAGACGCAACTATTGACTCCATGATGGTCCGTAGTGTTATTAGTAATTACTAATTTTTGATTCATTTAATCAACTTTAAGGAAGTTGTCAAACATGTAGTTAGTAAGCAACTGCACAGCTGGCATAGTGGTTTAAGCGGTCGCCACGCCGCTTCCTGCCACGCCGCTTCCTACTACGCCGCTTCCTACTACGCCGAGTGTTGTGGGTTCAAACCTCACATGCGATGACACTTTGTGTGATCCACAAATTGTTGTTCTGAGTCTGAGTGTTCTTTGTGTCCGTTTCATGTATGTTTGTAAAGTCCCCTGCGACACAGGATATATTCCTAATGCGGGCGTTGTCTTTTAAGAAAAAAAACTAAAGCTAGCTATATGGGTTCAGGTTTTTCACCGAGCTAATGCAGTCACTGGAAGCCCCTCTAATACTCGGGTTACAAAAAGCGGCAATGCATTTGTTACTCTTGAGTTGCAGGTGTCTATGAGCAGCGGTAGGTGCTCAACATCAGGGCGCCAATTCTACTATTTAAATATTGTATCAATAGGCTGTCGATGGACTATCATCAAAATAGTTTTGCACTTGTACCGATGGCCTCCCAAAGACTTGTCACTAAACTGCTACTGATACAAATGTCATCTATGTCTTTGTTATAGTTTGGTTAACAGTAAATTTAAAGAAAAAATGATATGTCTCGAATCGAATCTGATACCACATGGACCGCAATCGCGTACGGTCCTACACCACTAAGGCAGCGCTTTTTAAATTCCACTCGAACGAAGTCGCGGGTACCAGCTAGTAACTAATATAATTAAATAATTATAACTTTCTCATTCCAGAAATGGAACACCACAACTCTAGAGCTTATATCCCAACATGCAAGTAAAGACAACTCAATACTGTACAGTGGTTTACTAGTACCATTAAAAGATGATATATTGGTGATGGCAGGCACTGTTTTCTCCGAGGTTATCATACACAGGTGCAGTGATGACAAACAGTTTCACAATTTGAAAGAACATAAGGTACAATTATTCTATATAAAATTAAAACCTATGAATGTCAAGAAAATATATATGTTTTTAACTTTCCTGCTCCATGATATGCATGTATTTCACACCAATTAATAATTATTATAACTTTACACATCTTACACATGGCAGTCTGATCCCAAAATAATCAGAACCAGACTGTAAATACATACATATTATAGGAAATTACACCCAGACAAGGACCAAATGATCATGCTCATCACACAATTATTTGTAATGGGTGGGAATCCAACCCTCAAACCTGGCTTGGCAGTCGGGGCCACTGACTACTAAACCAACAAGGCAGTCAAATTAATTGAGTCAACCAGTTGTATGAGTAGATTCTTCCGGGCCTTGGAGAGCACGTCAAGCCCTTGGTCCCGGTTGCCATACGAACATCTCTGGCAATCGTTAAGGTTAGTTGGTGCCCTAGAAAGTCCAACAACAGTCTATCTTCAGAACATCGATGTGGCCTAGTACTTGGGTTGTGGAGGTCTAATGGTAGTCACTCCGGCGTATAAAAACGAAGTTTTGCCGTATCGTAGTAGATTTAAAGTCATCCCAACATGTTTAGAAAAAAGGCTTGGAGGAGAACTAGGTGCAGATACTCGTTTTTCGTTATAATGACAACTGAATTTACTCGATTTTTTAAATTTTAATTATTTAAAAAACATTTTAGGACATATAACGCATTGCTATCTAGACCTAGACTAAGTAGAGATTGTACTATGGGTTCTAGAATACTAATAAACATTCATTCATACATAGAAAGACCATTGTTAATTCATCTATACAAATAATAATTATACTAAGCGGGACACAGCTCCAATGTCACAGACACTACCAAGGCGCTATAGAATTGCTATTTTCTTTGCTGCTTCAACATTACAACAAAAACCTGTAAACATCTTATTATCTATTTATACAACATGATTTTTTACATTTTTCATCCTGTAGTACATAAATTCTACTCTCTGGTCTCACATAATTATTTTATCATTTTTATTTCCAGGGGGTAATATTTTCAATTTCATGTAAACCAGAAAAAAATATAATAGTTACCACATCAGATGACAGATCAGTTTGCATATGGGGTCCGGAAACTATTCCACCTCACTCATATGACACCATAAACTATTGGAAGAATATAAGTATAGTCTGTAAGCATAAGGTATATGGCCACCTAGCAAGGGTTATGAGAAGTTGTATCAGTAACCGTTTGATCATCTCAGTTGGTGAGGATTCTGCTATATGTTACTGGGACTATGAAGGAAAGCTGAAGAAGAAGATTGTCACCCATCAGAATGGGTGTATATGGTCTGTTGATGCGGATGAGCATCATTTAGTTACCGGTGGAGGTGATTGTGGAGTTATCATACATCCTCTTTCCGCAGCTATAGATTATTCACAAAATGATATTATTGATATTGGTGTTGCCACACCTAAGAGGGTAGAATTCACTGCAAGAAGAAACTTAGTTGTCACAGATGAGAACAATTTGATATATTATAATTTTAGTAATAAAAATAAATGTGTGTATGAGTTAAAATATGAATCAACATATCGGATGCTATCTCTTTCTTCCTGCAGGCAACTAGTAGCTGTAGCAGATATGACTGGGAAGTTAGGCATCTTTGTAGAAAATTGCAAAGATGATGCAGTGATCATAAAACTAATAGATATAAAACTGGATATAGGAAAAGTGCTATCCATGCATTGGGCTGGCAATAGACATCTAGTGTTTTGCACAGATAATGGTCACATTTCCGTATTTGCTTCGAGTGATACCATCGTAGAAGAATACGCCCACTTTATTCTACCACCGTGCAAAGAGGCATTACTAACGGCTGTTGCAGTAGATTTTACTAAAAACTATTTTGTAGTGGGTGATAGATGTGGTAATATACATATATTCGTAAAAGGCCAGGTCAACCCAGTCAAAAGCTTCAGTAAAGTCCATGGACGCTATGGCCCACGAACATTACTATTTACAGATAAAAGCATTACTTCTACTGGCAGAGATCACAGTGTCAAATATTTTACTTCCTTTAATGGCAGTTTTAAGTTTATGCGCAGCAAAGATTTTCCTTTTGCATGGGTTGAGAAATTTTTAGACAAAGATCAAAATTTAGTCTGTGGGTTCCAAGAAAGGGTCTTTGTGGTATACAACATTAAATATAACAGCAAGGTTTTAGAAATACCTTGTGGGGGAGGACACAGGTCTTTCGACGCTATTAGATACATCGATAAAGTTAATGATGGTTTTGATGAAATTATCAAACTGGTGTATTTAAAGGACTCTGATATAAATGTAGCGACATTTGAACTTAGCAAAATTGTGTCTAAGAATGTTATAAACGGATCTCACGCTAAAGAAATAAACTGTTTAAAATCACATAAAGTCAAAGTCAATGATGCTATAATATACATTACTGGTGGTGAAGACACTACTCTAAGAATTTCTAGTGTAGATGAAGCAATGAACTTTCAAGATGAATTTTGCTTTAGACATTTATCAAGTGTTAGAACTTTGAGCATATATGTTATAGATCAGTATACATTTCTTCTTGTATCAGCTGGTGGCAGAGCACAGATTTGTGTTAAAAAAGTAAAAATAATAAAAGAAAAATCTGAATTTAGTATTGTGTGTGAAGAGTTAATAGATTATTTAGTGAAAGGAACAGATAAGGAGCGAAAAGGGAATCAGCCATGGAAGAATTGCTACGTAGACTTTGATCCAGAAATGAGAATAATGGACTTAGACATTCATAAATTTAACCAGAAATTTGTGATTTTCGCTGGATGTTCAGATGCTTATTTGAGAGTGTTCTCATTCGGAGAAAATGAAAATAAATTGGAAGTATTAAAAGCTACGAAGTACCATAGTACGTGCATATTGAAAACGAAATGTATTCAAATGTACGATAAAAACATACTAGTGACTTGTACTACACGAGGTGACGTCACATTTTGGGACATTACCAACATATTTGACACAGATTTAACACCATTTTTCAGTACGAAAACGAATAAATCTGGTATCAACAGTATAATTTTCACAACCATAGCTAATAATAAATTTCTCATAGGCACGGGTGGTGATGACAATGCAATACATCTCGTTTTACTTGAAATACCTGACCAGAATAATTTGGGCTCCATGAAAGTTTTAAACACTTGGAATAGTTCGAATTTCCACAGCTCACAGATCACTGGCTTATGTTCGGTGGATCGTTACCTGATATCGGCTTCTATTGACCAGAGAATTACGTTGCTTCAGTGGAAGATAATTGGGGAGGAGATAGAGTGCAATTTTGTGACTCAGGTGCACACAGACGTAGCTGATGTTCAAGGAATGGAACTTCTGGAGGTTAGCAGGTATGTATACCAAATCTATACTTCTGACATAACATAACAGATCAAAATAAATACTATTGCGATAGTTTTATGTAGCTGATATAAACATATTTTTTAATTCTATAGTACACATTGTTTCACAGCTTTCAATATAAACATTAAAGTATTTCCAAAATATGAGATTTGTTTGAATGATGCGAAGTTTCATCTTCTTTTTAGGGCTCCGTACCCAAAGGGTAATACGGGACCCTATTACTAAGACTCCGCTGTCCGTCCATCTGTTGTATCTCATGAACCGAACTCTTATGAATGTGTGTACGCCGTGTCGTGGCGTTCATCATAGATAGTTCTCGAAAATAAATCTAATCGTGGAAGAGGTGTAGGCCTATATGGGCCAGTCTCGACCGGAGTTGTACCACGCTTTCACAGGAAACCGGTGTTAAGCAGAGACCCAAGTGCTACATCTCGGTGATTGGCCCGCACTGAAATATTAACCAATTGCAACACCGAACGCGCTCCCTGTCGAGAGTGAGATGATGTGTAATGAACTCGCACTTGGCCTTCAGTTCTTTCTTTGCTTTTCACCGAGTGAGACAGGTTACTGGACCTCAAACCCTCCCCCTCCCTCTCATTCTGGGGGGAGGGATTGAAAGGGTGACAGTGCACTTGTGGCTCTCGAGTTACAGGTGTCCATAGACGGTGGTAGTCACTTACCATCATAACATAAGAAATTAGTGAAAATTCAGATAAAAATATATTATTAAATAAAAAGAAAAAAATATTCACACTGTAAAAATATTATATTTAAAAAAAATATTACAAATACATAATTTACGAATGTTAATAAATTTAATTTTAGATATATAGATACAATTTAGTGGCCAATTTAATACAGATGTGTTAAATAATTAACATAAATTAATTAACCAACGAATTTCAATACGCAAATGCAAAAAATTACACATTTTCTGAAGGCTTCGTTGTACGCAGGCGCAAAGACACGTGATAGCATAGAGGAGACGAAGATTATAGAACACACTGTAGTACTTGTAATCTATCTCATTCTCTCGCAGGCTAAATCCTATTTATGAATATGTTTGTCTCTTTTTACTGTCGCTTTTTCATTTCACAACGTTGCTACAGAAGTTTCACTTCAAAAAAAATAAACCGACTGGCTCGACACACCTCAAAAAACTTCTAGAATATCATAGAATATTCTGGAATGTTCAAACAATTTCTGGACCATTCGATTAGTTCCACGTGTCTCAACTTGAGGCGTCCCTAACAATATGTATAAAAGATAAATGCATTATGTAAGTGTGTAAAATTATCATACTGGTCATAAATTCGTTCGCGAGTAACCGATAGACACAGATAAAATATCACAAGTCTGTGAGTCATAAAATAAAAATATATTGTCGTTCTGTGTGTTTATTTTATATCATGGTGGCTTAGAGGCTTTTTGTTTAATCGATATGTTGAATCTACTGATCCAACCACGTGCTATACCATATTATCGACCGTGGTTGGATTGGGTGTGATTTGGGAATCGAACCGACTAAAACCACACGGTGTGCCATACTGGGCTTAAAATAGGAGAGACATTTTGTGTTATATCATCCGCATCCCCACTACCTTTATATAATAAGCTCTCAGATAGGTGGGCAATTTTTTTTTCTAGATAAGTAATAGATAGGCCTCTCCTTAGAAAGGAGGTTTTGGCCTACTATACCACGCTGGCCAGACGGGTTGGTATAGGGTTTGTTTCAAGTTTTCCTTCTCTTTTTTCTAGGAGAGGCCTATGTCCAGAAGTGGACTAGTATAGGCTGTTGATGATGATGATGATGATGATGATGAAGTAATAGATATTTTTTTTTAATATTGTCTGGCAATCAATCATTTTGTAAAAAAGTCTGTTTTACAAATTACGAAGACGAGGTGGGCTCTGGGTCAATGGGTGTCCTAAAGCGTCATTGACAGTCGCCGTTCACCTATTTTAAAGGTCGCTTTACCCCCTTTACCCTCGGGTCAAAAAGTGTTATTCCGTATATCATTAATTATTTGTTCGGATTATGGTTAAAAAGAACGAAATTGAATAACGAAATAACTTTAAATTTATTTTTCTTTAACAGTGACGCGTTAACAGTATGCGTCTTCGGCAAGGGAATGGAGGTTTTAGCTGTGTCGAAGAATTAAATCCTCAGAAGGAAAGGGGAAAACTTCTGTCTGTATGAAGAGTTACCAAAATGTTAAGGTACGTAATTTTTGCTTATTTATTAAAAGCCGTAGAAGTGATAGCAACAGATATAGACAGCCATGCTTCGTCATAAATGGGCTGCTTCGATCAGAGTCATACCGCTTGTTGCTCTTCATTGATTGAGTAAGGTTACTGAAGAACAAATACCCCACTCCCATTTCTTGCGGGAGGGGGTTAGGGCTCAAAAATATAATATAATATAATATAATATTCTACCACATACACACAACACCATCTAGTCCCAAACTAAGCAGAGCTTGTACTATGGGTAGGTACTAGACAACTGATATAAATACATATATACTTTTTTTTTGTAAATACATACTTATTATACATAGAAACACCCAGACCAAATCAAACATCAAATGTTCATGCACACAAATGTTTGACTTGAGCGGGAATCGAACCCGCGACCTTTGGAATAGCAGTCCGTTACACAAACCACTACGCCATCCGGTCGTTCAAAAGCAACAATGCACTTGTGACTTCTGATTCGTCGGTGTCCATCGGCGGTGTGGTCGCTCAAGGTTAATAAAGAACAAACCCCCCCTCCCATTTCTTGGGCATTAGGACACGGACCAAAATAATATGTTATTGTTACGAACGGGGTATATCTATACAAATAAATAAAATTGGAGTGTCGGTTTGTAATATTAAAATAACCGCTTTCTACTAAATGCATATGTATGTTTACACGGTACATATGCCAAAATAACATTTTTTACAATTTTTGTCTGTCTGTCTGTCTGTTGTGGGTAATCTCTGGAACGGCTGGACCGATTTCGACGGGACTTTCACTGGCAGATAGCTGATGACATAATGAGTAACTTAGGCTACTTTTTTTAGACTAGCTTCGCCCCGCGGCGTTGCCCGCGGTTATAACAACAAACGCGGGTAACACCGCGGGTCTCTGCTAGTAATAAATAAAAGTTGTGGGTTAATTATTTTTATTGCACTGTATTTACAGACACTCACTATAATAAACAATAAAGCACTATATAACTCGTAAGTCGCACTAGAAATTCACTAACTCAATGTGCCACAGCGAAGCGTCAAACAAACTAATATTTTTACACGCTTTATATTAGCTTCACTTGTATGTTTGTTTGTATGTTTGTAACCGACTCCTTTGATCGTGATTTTGACTGACTTTATCGACGTACGATGTATAGTATAGCCTATTGTCAATAGTAAAAAGCACCCCACGATTTTTTTTCAAATTTATTTTATATTTTTTAGTTTGGTTTTCTATAGAAAGCGTGTTTTTTAGTTTTTAAAAACTATTTTTTTTTAAATTAGTGTATTGTCATCGGTCCTCGATATATCTACAAAGTTTGAACGAATTCTGACCGTTTAAAGTCAGTCAAAATCACGCCCAAAGGAGTCGGTTACAAACATACAAACAAAGCGTGTTTTATAGTTTTTTTGAAACTATATTTTTTTTTCTTAACCGTTCATCACCAGCCGTTTTTTTTTTGTGTTCTTTGTTAATTATTAACCAACTGTGTTCTACTAAAAGCCGCCATGTATTACATAATGCTGCAATACAAAATCCAGTTTTATCTTCCATTTCCTTGTCATATCAATAGGTGTCAAGAAATTTGGTTTACGATCATAATCTTTATCGATTTACTTGAAAACTCTTCATAAACTACCAATCGATAAGGACAATTGACGGGCCTGTTGGTCTAGTGGTTAGTGGCTCCACGGGGACCCTGAGTCCCCGTGGAGCATTAGATCCGAAGTGATTTGCCAGGAGTATGTGGTGATTCTGGGAGGACTCTGGGAGGACCCGGACCATGTTATTTCAGGTCCTCCCCAAATTGACACCATGCCTGATAATAATAACAACCTAACACATATTACACACGGCCGACTGATCTCAAACTAGGCAGAGCTTGTGCTATGGTAACCAGACTGCTGATAAACATACTTATATTTTTCTAAACACATACATATTATTAGGCAGATTACACCCAGACACAGAACAAATGATCGTGCTCATCATACAATTATTTGTCCTGGATGGGAATCGAACCCATGACCTCCGGCTTAGCTGTCAGAGTCACTAACCACTAGACTTACAGAATTTAAACTATTTATGTTCCAAATATTATGAATGCGCTATAACTCAGTAAATAGTAAAAAGAAAAGAAAGTGGACTGTATATAATGATTTACTAATTTATGTGGTAACAAAACATTATGTGCGTCTTGATGTGGTCATTGAGGCCAAGGATCTAATAAAGCCGCGCAGGCCTTATCCAGGTCTCCATCTTGCCGCCGCGTCATTGTTCAGATGTCTTAACATATTCCCCCGGTTGAAGTGGTTTCAACAGAAGATACAGCCTCAGATGTCTTAACATATTCCCCCGGTTGAAGTGGTTTCAACAGAAGATACAGGTAGCGCCCACGTAAGGGTGAATGATGTTTTGTCTGTCCCACATACTCATAAAAGCTCGATTTGACTGTTATTAACTCATTCATATTCTTTAAAATAATTCAAGACGTGTCAAGTAACTTGGATTCGTGTTACAATAAAACTTACCTATTTCAAGATCGTTAAAATTTGATAAAAATGTTATTCAGCAGTAAACGATAAAACTGTAGTAGAATTTGTACATATTGTATACATCGTGTAGTCTTTATTATATACAAAAGCACCCATGTTTTATCATGAAATTTTAATTTCTGTAGAAAATAAACAACTACCCACCCTAAACAAATAATTATTTGATAAACACGATTATTAATTTTTTCTGCGTCTGGGTGTAATTTATCTATAATATGTATGCCATCATCACATCACATCAACAGCCTTTACTAGTCCACTGCTGGACATAGGCCTCTCCTTAGAAAGGAGGTTTTGGCCTACTATGTATGTGTTTAGAGATATATAAGTTTGTCGATCAGCGATTTGGTTACTATGGCTCTGCGTTGTTTAGGATCAGACGGCCACGCCTTGAGTTATGTTACGTTATTTTATGGTGTACAATACTATATGGAACACAACATTTTAACTGAGTGTGACTGCGTTTGTAGTTAATTAAAATGATACTAAGCTACCCGAAACAAGGATTAATATGATATACATACTAATCCATACTAATCTATATACTAATATTATAAAGCTGAAGAGTTTGTTTGTTTGTTTGTTTGAACGCGCTAATCTCAGGAACTACTGGTCTGATTTGAAAAATTCTTTCAGTGTTAGATAGCCCATTTATAGGCTATATATCATCACGCTAAGACCAATAGGAGCGGAGCATCAATGAAGAATGTTTCAAAAACGGAGAAAATTTATTACCATTGAGAGACGCAGACGAAGTTGCGCGGGTCAGCTAGTATAATATATGCGAATGTGTGTCTGTCTGTCTCTCTTTCTATCTGTCTGTCTGTCTGTTAACTCTTCACGCTTAAACCTCTCAACCGATGTAGATGAAATTTAGTACAGAGAACGTTCGGCAAGGACATAGGGTAGTTTTTATCCCAGAAAACATCTTTTAAGGGGATGAAAAGGGGGGCGGAAGTTTTTATGGGTAATCAATAACCGCTGAACCGGTTTAGATGAAATTTGGTATGGAGATACTTTGATTATTGAGGAAAGACATAGGGTACTTTTTACCGCGATAACAGACATTTATGCGGGCAAAGCCGCGTCCAAAAGCTAGTCAACTTATGAAATTACAATCCCTTATATAAAAAAACGAAATGCAATGGTTAAATTAATATTTGCAAAGTTAATATAGACAAATAAAATTCAAGAGAATATATGTATTTGAAATTATTAAAAACCCAATATTAATTAAGAAACAACCTGTATTTTAAAGTACCTGAAATAGGCTAAAAAAACTAAATCTAGCGCACATTCAGTCTGCTTTTATTGACGTACATGTACATTATAAGTTTAATAAGTTTTTATATCCATTAAAATCATAATGTGAACAAATAAATTAAAATCGAACTTTGTAAGTTTTGTGAGCATAGTGATACAAGACTTTAATAAATGAACAAAACAGTTCAAACCGACAAATAAATGTGAGGTGAAATTTCTTGAGACCTTATTGAGTGTCGATGTACAGATATAAGATTGGTGTACGATAAGATAAGATATCTCGTAATATATAACAATGATGCGGTTAGCTGGATTCCAGTTGTTTATCTACGTATCTAAGTGCCTGTGTTGTGACTGTTTTGACGATGTAAGTACATAGTACGAGATTTTTGGTTAGAGTTTGAATTAATTTGGTATAGGGTAATGTTGGTCTAGTGGTTAGTGACCCTGACTGCTAAACCGGAGGTCGTGGGTTCGATTCCCACCCAGAACAAATATTTGTGTGATGAGCACGATCGTTTGTTTTGTGTCTGGGTGTAATTTATCTATAATATGTATGTATTCAGAAATATATAAGTATGTTTATCAGCAGTCTGGTTACCATAGCACAGGCTCTGCCTAGTTTGGGATCAGACAGCCGTGTGTGAAATGTGTGAGGTTATTGTTATTAATTTTTATTATTCTAGGGCTGATATGCCAATAAGGAGTAGTATATGAGCAAACACGTTTTTGCCGTGGGAGAACCGACCGGAGTGGTACTAATAAAACCGATGTGAAGCTATGTTTTCGTTGTTTTTAACCCTCAAAGAAAAACGAGGGGTGTTATAAGTATAACCTGTGCATCTGTGTATCTGTCTGTAGCATCATATCTCCCGAACTGATGGACCAATTTCGATTCGGATTTTTTTTTTTCGAATGCCGATGTGATCGAGATATTTCTAAGTCATAAATTTTGAAGATCATCAGCTCACTTCCTAGGTGATGAAGGGATCTCATTTTTGGTATACTGTTACTTTGATGGTATTTCCACGACATGGTAACCTGGAACTTGCTGCTGCATCAAGTAGTCTAAGGGATAGCCAACTCCTCAGATTATTACAGCATATAGACCATGTTTTGAGCTTAAGAGTATTAGAACAGACTCAATGAGCAGTTGTTGTTTTTTTGTGTCGAGGGTTTTTTAATGATGATATTATTAACCAAGTGAATGAGATTAATAGATACCCAATCCTTCAGCTACCTCTGGGAGGTAGTGTGTAGTGTGTATTTTGTATGAATTACGTATGCGCCGCTAGATGATAAGTTAAGAAGTAATAATTTATCTTGGTATGGACATGTCATGCGGAGGGTTGAGGAAAACGTGGAGAAGAAAGTGTTAGGTATGTGAGTTGAGGGGTACAAGAGAAGAGGAAGACCAATGGCAAGGTGGATAGGCTGTGTGAGTGAGGATATCGCTAGGAAGGGAGTAAACAGTGAGATGACGAATGATAGAGTAGAATGGAAGAACCATACTTACTGCGCCGGCCCCAAATAAAATTGGGATAAGGGTAGGCAGATGATGATGAGATACAAATATGTTGCATAAATATTTGGAAACAAAAAATATTTACGGGTCATACATGCAACCCAATAAGTCGGCTTATGTAAATTGATACAAAGAATCAACAGACGAGACCAAGCCTTTTTATGATATGCTATAAAGCGTAAAGCAGTCCCTAAAAGCGTTACTCGTAGTGAGCGATACCTTATAAAGCGTAAAGGAGTCCCTAAAAGCGTTACTTGTAGTGAGCGATAGCTTTTAAAGCGTAAAGCAGTCCCTAAAAGCATTACTCGTAGTGAGCGATACCTTATAAAGCGTAAAGTAGTCCCTAAAAGCGTTACTCGTAGTGAGCGATAGCTTATAAAGCGTAAAGCAGTCCCTAAAAGCGTTACTCGTAGTAAGCGATACCTAAGAACTAAATACCTTTTATGACAGTTGTGAGATCGAAAAATGATCGGATCTAAATTGTGACCGAACTTTTATTACGTGAATTGGCCTTCAGGTTTCGATCCTAAGAAGTGCAGCAGTGACTGTAAACGCTGGAGAAGCTACGGGAACCATGCATACATGATATGCTTTTATCTCTGCATGTAAATAATTATGTATTTGTGTTACAATCAGATTAGATATTGTTAATTAGCGTTCATTTAGTGTATTACCTAAAGAAAACGTATTGCAAGGTATCTTTTCGTAATTCTGTTTATTTAAAGATTCATGTTTAAATTATTATGACACTGAGCATTAATTATAATAATATACAAAGTAATTTTTGGTTTACTTTAAAAAATTACTAAAAATACTCAAATGTTACAAAATGCATACATATTATACATAAATTGCACCATCAACCGTAACACACATTCTTTGTCCTGGGTTGGAATAGACCTCACGACTTCGATAACCGGGGAAATAAAATCTGTCCCACTTCATTGGTTTAGTCACATCGAAAGAATAGAAAGGATCGAGTTGTTTAAAGAGGCATATCTCGTCGTACGACCGTCGACGAGTACTGCTGGAAAGATGAGGCTGTCAAAGAAATGAAGGTAGCTGCTTAGTTTGAACTAGTACTGGGCCTCAATTCTACTATATTATGTTCACCCCAAGCCACTGTCATACCACTGACATTCTATTGAGATGCCATCGAGTGGCCATTGGCATCGGTATAAATATCGGTAGTCTACACTAACTCAGTGTCTTTATAGTGGCAATGGAACTACAATTTCTGGCTTAACAGTCAAGGTCGCTAACTGCTAGAGCTTTAAGCCAGTCAAAAATATATTAAAACACATCATTTTTATCAATGATAAATCCATGATAGGTAAATGCAAGGTGTATGCATCTTCAATGCTTAACAGAGATAAATCCTTAGCAACACATTTGATTACGCGATACTGTCAAGAATCACTGTTCCTTTCAAGGTTACATACACGCTCTTTTTCTCTTTCGACACTGAAACATATAATATTACAATCAACTGATAAGTCTGTGGATTGGAAAAGTTACCTAAACACTTGCTACGTAAGATAGTGTTTACTTTGATATGAAGGAAATGTGTGTTTGAGAAAAGTATTGGCCAGTGGCCTATTTCCCTTGGGCATAAAAGGGCACATGCTCAGGGGCGTCTGGTCACTAGTTGGTACCTACCGCTACTTTTAAGTACTACTTTTTTACTAAAATAAAAAAAAAACTTACCGAATAACATTACAAAGAACTCCAAAACTACTCTGAGACAGCGGTCATACTGCCGAGATTCAGGGGACATTAAACAAGGATAGTAAACAATACTATATATTTCATTTTATGGAGCTCTTAACATAGACTTGGGGAATTTTAAGACTACGAAATATTTATCGTTGGTTGGTGTGATTTCAAAGGCGCATAATTTGCAAAACCGTGTATTAATATTTTCTAAATTTTTTTTTTTTTTTTTTTTTGTTTATTAAATGCACAAAACACATTACAATCAATTGAAACATAAATCATAAATACATCATTTAGATCTGGATCGTAACGTAACTCAAATGTACACAAAGAAAAACAGTGAAGATTATACAAAAATTATCTCTATTAGCAAGTATTAGCAAGTAATACAAAAATAAGTGACAAAGTAAGCAAGCAGCAATTGTGATGTAGATTTGAATGCTAATCCAAACGCAGCCCACCATGGAGGATGTCTTTCACCAATTTTGTATATCTGTTATAGTTAGGATCAAAAACGTCTAGTAATTTATTGGATTTTGAGATATCATTATATTGACGGGCCATTCTTGTTAATGGATTATAGTAAGAGATGTTATTTTTATATATTTGAAGGGCAAATATATTCGTATCATTAGCCCTACGGGCACTAAATTTAATATTAAAACTGATTAGAGAAAGTAAATCCGGTGAATCAATAATATAATGTATAATTTTGTAGAGATAAACCAAATCGACATAGGTGCGTCGGGTTTGTAATGGCTGGACCTTATATTTGCTGAGTCTGCTTTCGTAATTTAAATTTGACCGACCAGGGCTTTCTCGTTAGTTGAGAATTTTAATGAATCTTCTCTGAATACGTTCAATATTATCAATATGGACCTTGTAATTAGGCGACCATATCGGGCTACCATATTCTAATATACTCCTCACCAGAGCAAAATATAGGTACAAAGTACTGCTGGGATTTCTAAAACCTTTCGTTGATCTCAAAACAAAGCCTTGGAGTTGGTTGGCTTTGCATATTACATGGCTATAATGAGCGCGAAATGAAAGTTTGTCATCAAAAATGATTCCTAAGTCTTTTACAGTCTGTGTCCGATTTATTATTTGACCATCAATATTATAGTCCCAGATAAGTTTATTACGCTTTAGAGTAAATGATATTATAAAACACTTATTAACATTTAAGGACATCAAATTGGTTTTACACCACTCCGATATTCGATCAACATCTTGCTGAAGGGCTATACAATCATCCATCTTAGAAATTACCGAAAATACCTTTAAATCATCAGCATACAGCAAGCAGCTACAAGACAAGTTCCGAATTAAATCATTGATAAATACTACGAAAAGCAAAGGTCCTAGATGGGAGCCTTGAGGTACTCCGGATGTTACTTCAGTAGCCGAGGAAACATAGCCCTTCAATGCAACCAACTGAGTTCTTTTCTCTAGATATGAGCAGATCCAACGGTACAAGCTGCCGTGGACACCGTAGGAGGCTATTTTTCGACAAAGCAAATGATGACTGACCCTGTCGAAGGCCTTGGAGAAATCGGTGTACACAGAGTCGACTTGACCTCCGACGGCGAATGCCTGACAAAGATAACTTTTATACACTAACAGGTTTGTAATTGTAGACTTGCCCTTAACAAAACCATGTTGTTTATCCGAAAGAATTGGTTTAATATGACTGTATAGGTGATTGTAAACTAGAGATTCAAATATTTTTGCGAAACATGATAAGATGCTTATAGGCCTATAGTTCTCACAATTTGACTTGTCACCACTCTTATATATGGGAATGATATGTGCTGTTTTCCAACATTTAGGGAAGTTGCCGCCAATCAATGACTTATTGAAAATAATAAATAAAGGAAGTGTTAATTCTTTTCCAAAACGCTTAATAAAAGAGGGAGGTAAAAGATCAGGACCAGGTCCCTTATTTACGTCTAATTCTTTTATTTTATTTAATATATCACTCTCCTCTATTGAGATATGAGACAGTGAATTCAAGGAACTTTCGCGTGTATAGTCTGGTGGGTTATGACTGATGGTGTTAGTTCTATAGTCAGATTTTTTTTCAAATACTGAAGCAAAGTAACGTGAAAAGAGATCACAAATCC